CTCAACTTCAATTGATAAAATTCCTCAAAATGCTCAATTGAATCAAAATCTTAGGGTTCATATCCACAATCAAGTTACAATTTCAAATTTAGATTCATAAATCCCTAACTAAGGAGAATTAGAACAACATTACAAAAGAATGAGAGGAAGCAAGAGTAGAAGGAGAAAAGCTGAAGATGATCTTCATGACTCTAATTCCTAGCTTAATTCCTCAAGATTTAGAACATGAATTCGCCATCAATCTTTTCTCTTTGACTCTCTAAGGTAAAGGTGTGTAAAGGAAAAGAGAGAGAGAGAGAGAGAAAGGCCCTTAAAATCTAAGTTTGAAGCTATTTATAATTTTTCCCGTGTTTTTGACTTCCTACAAAATAGTCTCTGGAACAACCATTCTTAGCTCTAAAAGAACTACATGCACCTTAAATTTCACAAATAAGCTTACTTGTAGCCATTTTTGCTCCTAAAAGTGTCTACGTTCATGACCTTTCTTTCTTTGGTCTTAAAAGTGCTTACGCGCACTGCTTTCTATCCAAAAACCCTACAAAGTGGCTACTTTTACCACTAAAAGTGGTCACGCACATTACATTCTTCCAAATAAGCTATGTAATTGTTATTTTTTATCCCAAAAGTAATCATGTGCACCATGCATTTCCTCTAAAAGCCTACAAGTGATTACTTTTGGCTTTAAAAGTACGCGCAATGCATTGATGCATATTATCCTCTGAAGTTCTCACTTTTGTGGCAAAAGTACTTACACTCTCCTTTATTTGTCTTTCAAACCTCTAAAGTGTTAACTTTTTGTATCCAAAGTGACAACACTCAATCATATTGACCTCTTAATACCTTTAACTCATATGCTTTTGTTCAGAATTTCTTGCAAATTTATTTTAACAATAAAATTACATAAGAATTCTATTAAATCCAAACAATTTGAATTACTAAAAGCAAAAATTGAATTGATTGAACAATTATACATTTTTGTGCATTTTTTATTTTTTGAATTACTCTTTTCTATTAAAAAGATCCTAAAAAACTACTTAAAAATCTATCAAAATCTAGAGTTATCAATATGAATTACAACATTATGAATTTTGTGTCTAAAGCTCCAAATTTGTCTACTATTGCTGAGCTGTGCTAGAAATTAACGAAGACGAGCAAATCAAATACATATCCTTTGATTGATAGATTAATTTGACTTATTTTGACTTTTCATGTATTCACGGCAACAACAGAATGAATATTTTTTGTGAAAATTATTAAAACAAGGCTTCGTAATAAGATGGAAGATGATTTTCTTACAAATTATATGATTGTTTATATTGAAAAGGAGATTACTGCAAAGTTCAATTCATACTTGACCTTATATATATATATATGGGAAAGGATTTTGGTGTAAGTCTAAAAGTTCTTACATCAAATCTGAACCTTTTATTTAATTTACATCTAACAGCTATTGAAGTAATAAATTATAACTCGGTAGATGTAAGTCAAATGAAAGGTTCAGATTTAGTGTAAGAGTTTTTATATTTACATTAGTGTAAGAAGATCATGCTCCTATATATATATATATATATATATATATTGTTTATTTTGATCTTAAATATATGTGAATGATTTATTATTTGTTAGTGATTTCATATATTATATTTATTTTTACATGACAATTAACTTTGATTTTACTTTCTGCTATATATGTTAATTAGTTTAGTCTCCTTGTTTTAAAATTCTAAGCTCCGAACCAGGCCACTTGCATTACAAAACTTATGATGACATGGTAAAAAATACTTTAGACAGAAAAATTGTACCACGCCAAATGACGCAATTACTTAATTAGGTTAGTATCACTCACACATTTGAAAACATATAAATGACACCATTATTTTCCATAAATTCATACTTTCTATGCAAGAATAGGGACAAAATATTCATCAACTCCATATTGCATGGACCCGTACAATTTGTATCATAACAATTATACACCAAAGTGATTATTTATTGAAAATTATTATGTAATAATACTAATATGAACATATAATAATGAAGAAAATAACATTTATTATGTATAAGACAATAATATATATATATATATATATATATATATATTAATAAACATCATTCTTCACATTTTTTAAAGTTTGTTGTGATAACCACTTGCAAGTGTTATTTTAAAACAAACACCCAGTTGAAATTTAAATTTTCTAATAAATTTACAAATTCAACCAAAAAAATAATATTAGTTACGATTGCACCAAATGTAAGATGGATACGTGTGTACGAGATTGACAAGAGCTAGGTAGGAAATTTTATTCTACACCCACATTATTATCAAAACAATATTAGATATCTCCCATACCAACATGATCAATGTTAGTTGCCATGCAGTTCTTGGTAGAAAAATCTTAGAACTTGGACCCATGCTTGACTCTAAGGGTAGTTTAGAAGTGCGATCGCCTAGGGCTTAGGCTTGAAAGGGGTCCAAAGTAAAAATTGTGTTATGATTTCATGTGCTAAATAAATTCCAACTATGAATTGCAGTTTGCAATTGAAAAAAAATAGAAAAACAAAAAAGACTCTTCAATTCCTCGCACCTCCCTTACCATAAATATAGTCGCTCTTTGATTTTTCTAGACTCAAAACTTTATTTAATTCTTAAATTCTACTCTTCTTAACATTAAAGCTCATGGAAACTTTAGTTTTTCTTAAAAATTAAACAATTTTTGAATTTGTCAAATCTACATATAGCTATCCAAATGTTTTAATAGCTTATAGATTTTTTTTTACGGTCTCGGTGACTATAGCATAAGCTAAAAGAAGTTTTTCAAAGCTAAAGTTGATCAAAATCTATCTAAGGTCATCAATGTCACAAGAACGGTTAAATGGTCTCATAATTTTATTAATTAAGAAGGAATCTTCAGAAAACATTAATATTAATATTATCATTAATGATTTTACATCTCAAAATGCTCGTGGAACCCATTTTTTTTATGATTTTTTGTGTTTTTATAGTTGATTATAACATAGGAGTTTTTTAAATGAAAGAATATTTCTTTTGTAATTTTATTAGAAAAATTGTACTCACTTAAAAAATGTATTATTTTAATAGAATTATTAGCATATATTTTTATTTTATTTTATTACATTCTATAATTTTTTTGAAAGGGGCCGTAAATTTCTATTTTGCCTAGAACTTCAAAAAGGTCAAGAACGAGCATGCCTAGACCCCTAATTATATTAACTGGTGGTCTCAAAATCATTAACTAAGGGCAAGTACTTAACTGATAACTTGCTACTAGAATGGTCAACTAGCATGAAATTTTCAATAAATCTCAATATATAAACTTTAGTGAGCTAAGTGATTTTCAATAGACTATGATAGTACATGGTGATATAAGTGAAGTGTTCGTCCAATCAATTCACCTTTAAACTTTGTACAAAGACATTATGCCTAAGTTTGATACCAAGGTTGTCTTCTACAATCTGGGTCCAATTACTTTCTTTCAGTGCTATAACTAATCTTTCATTAATGCGTAACCTTAACAAAATTTTAACATCTTGAAGACTAATTGTATGTTTTCTAATGAGCAGATGGAATGTGTGCATCTTGAGCCTCTAGCTTTATACTAATGTTGTCTTTAACATCAAATTTAATTAAAATTAACAAAGTAACTCTAGTGAAATTGGCTGTCTCAAAATGGGGAACAATTTTATTAAGAATACCTTCCATGTTAGCATAAATAAATTATCTTCTCTTAAGCTTGAGCTATGATTAATAATCTTACTTTCTTTTGAAGATAATGTCATCTCAATAAAGATTTAATATATAATAATTAATAATTAATTAATAACCAAAATTTAACAACAAAAATTACTAATATTATTAATAATAACAAGTTTAAAATTATTTAAACAATACTAATCATAATTAACTAAATCAAATTAATAACAATATTCAAAATTTAATGACATCAATCATAATAACAATATTAGTAATATATAAAATTCTTATTTTAAATTATATTATATATTTAATAGTTTAATTATAATAATCACAATACAAATAATATATAGAATCCTTACAACAAAACAATTTTTAAGTATGAAAATCTGTTTATTTGTATTAAAAGTATTATAAACTATCGAATTTATTCTTAATTTCTAATTATAATAAAGTAATAATAAATAATCTTCTATAATTAATTAATTAATAAATAAATATACATATTGTAAATACAAATAATTAATAATAAAAATAATTAAAGATACATATTGTAAATAAAAATGAACTAATATTTTAATAATAGACAAATAATATTCTACGATAATTATCATAATAATTTCCTATAAATTTATTAATTAAAATAATAATAATAATAACAATTAATTATAATATCTAATAAAATATATATTTAATTACAGTATTAAACAATAATAATGCAAATCAGGAACTAAAAATAATAATAAATATGATAATATTTCTATTTTTAACTATAAACTACCATTCTTCACTTTAATGAATAAACATATATTTAAAAATTTTACTTATTTTAAATTATCTAATATTTATTTATTTAATTTTAGACTATCTAAAAAAGTCTTACTAATTTAAAACTCTCCATCTATTTTATTTTAATTGTTTAATTTATTACTACTAATTTATTATAATGATGTATTAATTTTATAGATCTATAAACTATTTAAAATAATTTAAATATCTATTTAAAATGTATTTTACTAAGCTGTAGTGTAGAACAACACAAATTTAATTTTGATCACATGCAAAATAAAATAAATAACCTTATTATTAGTCTCCTTTATAAATAAAATAAAATATAAATACACAAATAAAAAAAATGCATTTATGTATAGAAGAAGGTGGTTGTTACCATTACCACATTTTTATTTTTATTTTTGTTTTTGTTTTCTTGAAACAAGTCATAGTGTCTGGGGATGAAGATTCTTAAATCATAGAAACGAAATAATTAAGAAAATGATAAGGAAAAGAGAAATCCTCCTGAAATAAGAAAAGACTTCAATTAATCTTCTATAGTGAGATTCTTCATACATAAAGTGAGATTTCAAATGCACACTTTCACTTCAAGGATTCGCAATGGAAATGGAAAAGAGAGAGGACTTGAACTCGATTCTGCCATTTTTGCCACTGCTCATACGTTCATCCAATCTCTATTGGCCATCCCAAGCGGTGGAAATACTCAGAGAGCTCGCGAGTGGGCGAGTCGACTCGGTCGAGCACTTGTTGGACGCTATTTCTCACATCAGGAACGCTCTTTCTCTCTCTTCCCAATTTTGTTCCTCTTCTGCTCTACATGGATACGCCCTTTTCTTAAACGATGTAATACACTCCACACCCAACTTCTCTCTCACTCTTCAATTTTGAACTGAAAATCATGGCCCCTTCTTTCAGGTGATGTCTGAAGAGGAATCTAAGCAGTTTTTGAATGAGGTGGTTCCGGCGTTCGGAAATTTGCTTTTGAGGTTGCCCTCTTTGTTGGAAGCACACTATGAAAATGCTGATAGGGTTATAGATGGAGACGGAGCTACGGTCAGAACTGGTCTTCGCATACTTGATTCACAAGAAGCAGGGATAGTGTTTCTAAGCCAGGTTTGCTTCTTATTTATGCTGCTACGTGATTGTGACACGGATGCTGAATATGGTTATGGTTAGGATTATCAATTTATGGTTTTTCAGGAGTTGATTGCTGCTCTTCTTGCGTGCTCGGTGTTTTGTCTGTTCCCTGTCAATGACAGATCCGTGAGACATCTTCCATTGATCAACTTCGATGGATTGTTTGCGTATGGAATCTTCGGCTATACTTTTTTGGATCATTTCGTGTTGTCATCACTTGTTCAGTTGCTTGTTTCAGTCCTAATTCAGTGGTGCCAAGATGCTGCAGGCATTTATATGTCATTAATAACTGTTTGTGTGTGAGAGGGACTGAATGGGAGGGAGAGAGGGAATTGATATTGGTCTAGGTTGAAGACTTACTGACTATCTTATTGCATATTCTTGAAATTCTAAGCATCAGTTTTCTGCATTTTCAGGAGTATGTATGATGATTACCATGAAAACCTTGCACAAAAGGTTTGGTGCATCGTTCACTATTTTCAAAGGATAACTTCGGATATGCCTAAGGGTTTTGTTTCATTTGAGCGAAAAGTACTTCCCTTCAAAAATGATGCTGTTCACATTTCTTACCCAGATGTTAACTTTTGGAGCACTTCTGCTATACCTCTATGCAAATTTGAGGTAACTGAAGTAAACTTATTTTCAATTGTTCTGCAAAAGTAATTTCTTTTATTTATGTTTTGATTTATTCATTTGGTTTATCGTAGGGTAATACTTTGACGTTTTAATAGGTTCACAGTTCAGGACTCATAGAAGATCAAACAAGCGGAGCTGTAGAAGTGGATTTTGCCAATAAATATCTTGGGGGAGGCGCTCTTCGCAGGGGCTGTGTACAGGTACACTATGTTTTTATTTGCACCAATAACCTTTTATACTTAATTTCTGGTGTTTATGATAGTTTTTTCATACTACAGTTCTTGATGTGCTATATAAACATATGCATGCGGTCTAGTAAACATTTTATATTTAGCACCTTTCATCATTTTGTAGATACTGTAGGTTGAGATATTTCACTTGAATATTTGACCTATTGATGTTTGATGAATTTGCTTGTAATCATCTGATATAGGAGGAAATCCGCTTCATGGTCAGTCCAGAATTGATTGCTGGCATGCTCTTCTTGCCAGCCATGGCAGATAATGAAGCTATAGAAATTGTTGGTGTGGAAAGGTTCTCGAGTTATACAGGGTTAGTGTTACTCAATGGATTTAAACTTGAATAAGAAATTAGTATTATCGATGCCTACTACTAGCTTTATTTACTTCAAAAAGGTGACAGGAGTTTGTTTTTTCCATTTCTATTTGAAGATGAATGAAGAGAAACCGTGTTTCTTCTTCTTCTTTTTTTATCAAGAAAAAAAAATGTTTCTTCATTGCTATGCTTAGCATAATGAATTTTCTCTTCTGTTTTGTCTAGTTTTCTGTAGCTTGAACCATTTGAGCTGTGTTTATCTTCTGCTCAATTTTTGTTTGCACACCTGGCTACTACAGTTTTTTAATACTAAAGTTTATATCCTCCCAAGAATTTAAAAGAATGCACATTTGGCCGTTATTTGTGTTAATGTATATACAATATGCATATGATAGAGCGAACTAAATTAATAAAATATATTTTTATTTGGATGTGATGTCACTTATATGTTTTTCAGCTGTTTAAACTCACCGATATTGTATTTATTGGGTACTTCCTTCATAACTTAACGATGATAACATTTCCTGATATCTTTAGGTACGCATCATCATTTAAATTTAATGGTGATTATGTGGACAAAAGGGATGTAGATGCTCTTGGAAGGTGGAAAACCAGAATTGTTGCAATTGATGCATTATGTAGCCCAGGGATGAGACAATACAGCACAAATTTTCTCCTCCGGTTTGTTATTTTGCTTGATGTCTGCCCTTTGAAATTTGTAATTGTTTATAAAAGGCAGGCATGCATGCATTCCCTGCAAGCTGGAAAGTCTTCTCACAGTTGCTTTCAGTTTCTTTTTCTCAATCCTCTGGAGGAATGTGTCTGGTTCACTCCCCAGAATAGCTATGATAGTAGCCATACTTCCTGTTTCTTCCCAATTATATTTCTTCTTTCATAAAAAGAAAATTTTCTTTAGGTCATTTTTATACCCACAAATTAAGAGACTTACAAAAAACAAATTAGGGGGAAAATTATTTCCAGTTCAGTAATAATTTATCCTTTAAGTAGTTAACAATGTTCAAGGTGGTTATAAATGTGTATAAAATAAATTCTGAACTTATCTTGTTCATTCTTGCAGTGAAATCAATAAGGCATTCTGTGGTTTTCTATACCAATCTAACTGTCAACAGTATCAGAAAATATTGCAAGAGAATGGATGTTCATCTGTACTGGTTGGTTTTTGCCACATCTTTCTATAAACAATGATACTGGAGATTTGGTTGAGCAACTTTTTTAATATGAAAGTCTCATCTATACGCACATATATATGAGATCCAAGCCTCTAACTATGTCTGCCATCCATCTGCATTGGTCGTTGTTTATTTATCTTATTTGAACATTCTTTTCTTCCAGTCTGGTGCTGCCACCTTAACATCTATGGAAACAAGTGAAATAAAAACTTCAAACCATGAAATTAGAAATTCTCAAAATGATTACGATATGATGGATCAGGATAATAATAATATTGGGGTTGCAACTGGAAACTGGGGATGTGGTGCCTTTGGAGGAGATCCTGAAGTAAAGACCATAATTCAGTGGCTTGCAGCCTCTCAGGTGATTTTTTATATTTTCAGCCATCAGTATATGTGTATGCGGCAGTTACCTGTGAGTTATCTGAATGGATTAGAAATGTTTATGCTTGGCTGTACAATAAGGAAAACTCATTTTCCGTGTCATATTGACAGCCTTTTCAATGGACTTGAAATATTTGCTATGGTAAAGTGGACATTAAGGGATCCTTCTCCCTCTAAATACTAGCTAAAGTGAGAGAAAATTGACAAACAATCTGACTAGTTATCTATGTTTCAAACATATACTACTATTTTGGCCCGTTAATATGGAAGGTCTAGGAGGTCATACATATTATGTTTGATATACCATTTTGATAACAACCACAAACTATGTCACCGAATTAAACGATCTTAAATTGAATTTCACACAATAAAAATAAAATTATTAGAGTACAAATAAGAATTGAAATAAGAAGAAAATTAATAAAAAGTAAAAATAGAATAGAGATGGAAAATAACGCCACAATCGCAAGATTGATAGTCAAGGAACAATCGCCACAAGAGTCTTGGCCTCGTGATAAGATCAAAGAAAACTGGCTCACTAAAGAACCTAGAGTCGCACGCTCTCACAAGAGTGTTCAATCTCAAATTGTATTCAAAACTAAGTAAAAGCGTGTATACAAGAGTTTATATATACATAATGCTTGTAAACTAATACTAATGCAAACCCTAATGGACTTCTTGTACAACAAGCCTAAATTCAAATAAACTAAATAAAATAATAAGATTTTCTCTTAAATAAAAACTCAAAATAAGTAATGACTAATATTAAAATAAATAAACTAAATATAATAATTAAATTCTAATAAAACTCGTTAGAGTTCAAATCTTCTAAGTATATGTAATTGACTATTTTGAGCTTTTCTAGTTTTAAATTGAGCTCCTTTTCAAATAAAACAGTAACAATCTTTTCTAGGTCTTTATTTATTCTTTTTGCTCTTGTCATTGGTCCTTAAAGTCCTTTCAATGCCTTCGAGTCTTTGTTTTCAATGGGCTTTCTTTGATTCAATGTTATTGAAATATTGAATGTTTGGTAGCCAGAGGACCTCCTCGACAAAACCATATGGACAATAGTGAAAATGAAATATTGGAAATTGACTCAACAAAATAAATATTTAGTTCCTTGTTTCAGAATGCCAGTAAAAAAGCAACATGTATACATTTTAAAAAAATTTTTGACACATGTCCAGATGTGAATGGTCAGAACCCTATGGTCCAGATCCTAGATCATTGAATAATTTCTCCTTATACTAGGGAACTGCGATGAGACAAAAGGAAACGTTTGCATTTGTTGACCACAGGAACTGTAGTACTAGACTCTGTAATATTGCTCACCTTTGACCTGTCTTGTTGAAGTCATTAATATTGGCTTGGTTTATGCCTTACAGGCTCTAAGACCTTTCATAGCATACTACACATTTGGCTTGGAGGCATTGCTCAACCTAGATGAGGTATCTTGATCTTTCCTTCGTACCCCCCCCCCCCCCCAAAAAAAAAAAAGAAAGAAAGAAAAAAGACTGCACTATACAATATGATATTTTTATTGGCATCAACAGGATTGACCGAGCTAGGGTTAGATATCATAATCTGCATTAACTTATGTTTCCATTATTCTGCATTGCCTCCTTCCTTATTTCATTGTAATTAGTGGTAATGCTGTCCCACGAATCAATTATGTTCATTTAGCCAAGTGCCAGGAAAATTACCACGCAACTTGGACTTTTCTTTCTCCAAAGATTTCTTACTAGGAACTTTGGTTCGACGTTGTGGCAGGTTGCTCATTGGATTTTGACACAGAGATGGACAATTGGGGACCTATGGAACATGCTAATTGAGTACTCTACAAAAAGATCAAAAGGAGAAACTAATGTCGGCTTCCTCCGATGGCTCCTGCCATCAATATATAGTCAGGGTACTGGGATGGATTTGGCAAAGAGGCCTTAATCTTTTGTTCATTTTCTGTCTTTTGTGCATCCCTTTTCTCTCTTTGAGAAAGAGCTGTGAAAAGGTCAATGGTTGTTTGTGTATATGAATTCCGTGTATAGATTGATTTGTGGACTACCACGTTTTTCAATTTTTACATGTCTAGATTGCCACTGTGAAGGTGGAACCTACTGCAAAGAGGACATATCATAATTTTTTCCCTAACAGATACATCCAGAAACTATTGTTTTTGGTGATGAACTATTGTTAAAGAGGAGAAATGCAAGTAATATATTTTATAGCACAATTTTTTAATACACTTTTGTTATTGGTTAAAATTTATTGAAAATTATAAAAGTATGTAAGAAAAATGTTAAATTAAAAATGAGAATGAATGAGATTCATATTATTTTTGTAATTTTAAATAAATTTTAACTAATAATAAGAAGTATATTATTAGTATTTATCTTTTAACTTAATTGACTAATGTTAAAATTATTAAATTCTTTGTTAATAATAATAAAAATTTTATGTTGATTAAAAATTATACGTATTATCAATCACTCTTAAATTTATTATTAAATTTGAAATTTAAAAAAAAAGAAAATAATTTATTAAAAAAAATGCAAGAAGTTAATTTTTCAGGATGTGGTAAAAACCATGTTTAAAAATTTATAAACTCAAACTCAAAATAGAAATTATAACAGATAATATAAAAAATATTTATAATTATTAAATATAAATATAAATACACATTTTAATACATTTGAATTTCTTTCTAATGAATATTAATTTATATTTATTTTAACGTTATTAATTATAATATTATATTAAATTTGTATGTTCATATTTTTGAATTTGTTTCTAATCAGACATGAGTAGACTAAAACATTAGTTTTAAAAAAAGATTTGCAAAAATGGGTCGACGGGACATTGTGGCAGGGGTGTGCTCCGCAAGTAAAACCTGAAAAACCCTACTAAAACCCCCACACTTGAACGAACCTCTGAGAGTTAAAGCATTGTTTGGTTTTAGATTAAAGTCATAAAAAATGGCGAAAACATTTTGTGCGGGATTGGTCTCAGCCATGACAGCTGCAGTTGCAGCTGGCTTCAACCCAAACGCTTCTTACGCCGACGCCTCTTTCGCTTACCCTCCGTCTTCTCCGATTTCCGATTCCACTTCGCCACCGCCAAAGAAGGTTCCAAACCATCACCCGCGAACCACCTCTGCGGGTTTCGACCCTGAGGCTCTCGAGAGAGGCGTCAAAGCCCTCAAGGAAATCACCCATTCCCCTCACTCCAAAAACCTCTTCGATGTCATCAAAAAGCAAGAGGACACTAAACAATCTGAATTCGCTTCAAAAGTTGCTCAGTTTAAACAAATGCAAACACAGCATGAAACCGTATGATGATTTTCGTTTCCTGCATCAAACGTTGTTATTTATTTTGTGTCACTGTGACACACGTATCGCTTTCTTTGCAGGAAAGGCAACGGATTATATATGATGAACAGAGAAAGCTTGCACAGCATCAGGCTCAAACTAAATCCCAAATGGCCAAGTACGAGGATGAATTGGCAAGGAATAGGATGCAGGTCTTTAACCTTTTTTAAATCTTAAAAAAATTACATTTTTGTTATTTTATGGGGTGATTGTAACTCTTCCAATGTGTTATTTGCAGGCAGAGAATGAGTACCAGAAAGCCAGGAACCAAGAGCTAGTAAAACTGCAAGAAGAATCGTCCATAAGGCAAGAGCGAACTCGGCGTGCAACTGAAGAGCAGATTCAAGCACAGCGACGCCAAACCGAAAGAGAGAAGGCTGAGATTGAACGTGAAACAATCAGAGTAAGGGCTATGGCAGAAGCAGAAGGAAGGGCCCATGAAGCAAGGCTCGGTGAAGAAGTTAAAAGGCGAATGCTAGTTGATCGTGCTAATGCAGAGAGAGAGAAATGGATTGCTGCCATTAATACTACTTTTGAACATATTGGAGGTATAACCTCATAGATTGGCTGACAATGTGCAGTGTATAAGGAAACCCCATATTAGCCACTTTAGTTTGGAATTGGTCCTTCTATTCTCCCTTATTAGTCACCAATATTGTAATTTACTTTGTTATTTTCATTTATGTGTTTTGCTTAATTGAGTGTTAAAAAATTTGATTTATAATTTGCAGGGGGCCTAAGAGCTGTTCTAACGGATCAAAATAAATTGGTTGTAGCAGTTGGTGGGGTGACTGCTCTGGCAGCTGGCATCTACACGACAAGGTATAAATGTTCACATAGTTGCAACTGGCTGTTATTTTGCCAATCTTTGTTGACCTTGTTTGGGCTAGCCTTCAAAATTATATTTAGTGTAGCATCCCTTGCTAGTTGTGCAAGTATTGATCATTGATGACATTTTTTCATCAAACAGTTGTTTTATAATTTATTGATGTTCTTGAACTAAGCCCAAAGTATTCATTCTGTTCCACTGAATGCTTAGTTGATGGATTTTTGCCTAATGGCTTACACTGGTCTTGTTGGTCTAATGAAGGGAAGGTGCACGGGTTATTTGGGGATATGTAGATAGAATATTGGGACAACCATCATTGATCCGAGAGTCCTCCAGAGGGAAATACCCGTGGTCTGGCATGTTTTCTCAAGCCATGAGCTCCCTGTCTCATCGTACTGATCCAGCATTTGCTGCAAAAGTTGGAAATGGTTTTGGTGATGTTATTTTGCATCCTTCACTTAATAGAAGAGTTGAGCAGCTGGCATCAGCAACTGCTAATACAAAAGCACATCAAGCACCATTCAGAAACATGCTTTTTTATGGCCCTCCGGGGACAGGAAAGACAATGGCTGCTAGAGAGTTGGCTCACAAATCGGTATGAGATTGAACTTCTCTACGAATGCAATTTTACTTTTCCATTTTTCAAGTGTTACCCGATATCCACTTTCCTAGTCTGTCAGTCACATACTTAGGAGTTCTTAGAGTTTGCTTTCACCTATTTCAAGGAAAAGTTTAAATTTTGTCATGGCTTGTCTATTAAATTGGTGCAGACTAACATATTAGCAAATTATCTTCACATTTTTATGATTTCTTTTTCATCAAGTTTGCCAAAGTGCCAACGATCAATTCATCTGTTTTAAAGGCTTAGTAATTTTATTTTTGCTTCCTTTACCTTTCTAAATTTAATAGTCACTGAAAATGGATAATCATTACCATTTGATGAATGTAATGATGTATTTTGTTAAGATATCTCACATTGGCTAGGAATATGGCTAAAGCACTCCTAATAAGATTCGACAATCCTTCTCCACATTGAGCTAACTTTGGGGTTGAGTTAGGCTTAATCCATTTCTAATATGAAGCCTCGAAGTTTATCAAGTCTTGATAGTGTGCCATCTGCAAATATTTAATCCTGCAAACTTTATGCTCCAAGTGGCCAATCTTGGGTGTGAGAGAGATGTTAAGATCGGATGTCTCACATTAGTTCAGTATATGACAAAATTACTCCGTATAAGTTGGGCAATCCTGCTTTCTTGAGCTTGTTTTTGGGGTTAAGTTAGACCTAGTCTATTTCTAAGACATTTTTATGAACATCAAATAAATTTCATTTGTAATTTAGTTGGCTTACATGCTTATATTCTTTTTCCCTTTTTCTTGGTAAAATTATTCTTTCTGTTGGAAGAATTCCAATTTTTTCTCTTATTTTTTGCAGGGATTGGATTATGCATTGATGACTGGAGGAGATGTTGCACCACTGGGATCACAGGCTGTCACAAAAATACACCAGTTGTTTGATTGGGCTAAGAAATCCAAAAAGGGTTTATTGCTTTTCATTGACGAAGCTGATGCATTCCTATGCGAGTAGGTTTAATGCTTCTTCCACAGTCACTCGTTTATTATGCTTCTTTTTGCTTGTTTAAAAGTATTTGAACCAGAAAATACATCATTGTTATAAGTGAAACATACAATTGGCTAGTATCATCTTGTCTAAATCATGATTTTGTCTAGCATATATTGATACTCCATGGTATTTATAAAGGAAAAGAGAAAGTTCCATTAACTATTTGATAACATGAGTTGATTGTGTTGGGTAACCTATGCAGGCGGAACAAGACCTATATGAGTGAAGCACAAAGAAGTGCACTAAATGCCCTTCTCTTCCGTACTGGTGACCAGTCTAAAGACATAGTGCTTGCTCTTGCCACAAACCGTCCTGGTGATCTTGATTCAGCTGTGTCAGATCGCATTGATGAGGTCCTAGAATTCCCCTTGCCCGGGGAAGAGGAGCGCTTTAAACTTCTTAAGCTCTATCTGGTTAAGTACATAGCTCAGGCTGGATCAAAAAAATCTGGTTTGGTTCAAAATTTGTTCAAAGGAAAACAACAGCAGATAGAGATTAAGGGATTGTCTGATGATATCATAAAGGAAGCAGCAACCAAGACTCATGGATTTTCTGGAAGGGAAATAGCAAAACTGATGGCAAGTGTCCAAGCTGCTGTATATGGGAGCAAGAATTGTGTGCTTGACCCAGCATTGTTCTGTGAAGTGGTAGATTATAAGGTTGCAGAGCATCAACAGAGAAGAAAATTAGCAGCCAGTGATAAAATTAGTCCATCAGATTGCTTGTAGAGATTGATTATGTGGTTAATACCGTATCATTCATGTATTATTGTGGGCATGCTGTTATTCATTCATATTTAATTATCTCCAACTAATGGGGAGATTTTGGAATTTTATTATGACTAGGTTTCAGTTACGATCATTTTTCAATATTCAGGTTCCTTCGCAGTTAGCTGTTGTTGTCTTCAAGTCTTGATAATATATATAACTAGGAAATATGCTCGTGTGTTACATAGATTTTTGCACAAATATATTTATATTTTTTATTATTTAATTTAATTTTTAAATAATTATAATTTAAATATAAACATAATTATTTTTTATATGACAAAAAGATAAAAAATGTTAAATAAAAATTTTGATTATTTTTTAAAATAAATTATATGTAAAAAATAAACATAACAGTTAAAATTAATTTATATGTAACTTTAAACATTATAAATCTTAATAATAATAATTTAGTTATAAATTAATAAATATATTTGTTTATTATGCAAATTTATTTATATTTTTTATTAAATTAGTTTATTTTATTATATTAAATAATATCAAATATAATTATATTGAAAAATATGATAAATATATTTTTATTTATAAATTTTTATATATTTAAAATTTAAATAGAAACTAAAAGAGAAGAATGAGTTTATACTCAGGGTTTATCGACTGGATAATTGACAGACACCTATCAGAGAGACTATATTCACAGTCGCCATGTTAATAAAATATAAAATTTATGAGTAATGTATAAAATATAGACAAATATAATCAATGAAGGTTGGTCTAAGTGACAAATAAGTATTGGATTCGAGTTTTTATGTATACAAAAAAATTTTAATATATTCACTCATCATATCCATATATGTGACTCAGGTCGAATAAAAATAAATTAAAAAAGATATATATAATAAGATAATAAAATTATTTTATGAAAGATATAAATGTTTGATGATATTCTACTTTTTAAATTCTACAAAATTTTAAAAGTATTTCTATAATAATACAATAAAATTGTTCAATCTTTTAAACCTTTTATTGTTACCTTTTGTTCAGCATTATTTGCTTTATCTTTATTGAGTTGTAATTTAAAATAAAATATTAAACATAAATTATTATATGATCTGAAAAAATTTCACTTTACACATAATTTATCAAATAAATTTATGTTAATATTTATTTCAATTATTAAAAATTAAAAATTAAACTTTATTCAAATGTAATACTAAATCTCATTGTTTATTAAAAAAATATTTTTTATTATATTTCTACTCATCGATATATACTTTTTGATGTAATTTTATTTTCATTTTAAAATATTTAATAACAAGAATAATATAATAGATTTACATTATTCATATTTAAAAGTAATTAAAAAAATTTACTATTTAGTTTCACTTTCACGTTCCTTTAATTTGTTTTAAAAAAATTATTTTTTATATTTACATCAACTAAAAGAATAAAAATTCTTATGGTTGAAGAATGAAAAATATACAAAAAAATTTGTATATAAAAATATATTTATCATATTTTTTTATGTAATTATATTTGATATTATTCAATATAATAAAATATTATTATTATATATTTTTATATTTAAATTATAATTTTTTATTTATTTTAAAATAAAATAATTTAATAAAAAATATAAATAAATTTGTATAATACATAAATATATTTACTAAGTTATAATTAAATTATTATTATTAAGACTTAAAATATTTAAAATTATATATAAATTAAGTTTAACTGTTATATTTATTTTTTATATATAATTTATTTAAAAATAATTAAAATTTCTATTTTATATTTTTATCTTTCTGTCATGTTAAAAATAATTATTTTTATATTTAAATTATAATTATTTTTAAACTAAAGTAACTTATAAAAAATATAAATATATTTATATAAATCTATGCAACGCACAAGTAACTGTTTCATATGTAAAACCAAAGTTATAGCCCTAATTACAAGTTAGTTTTTGTTGCAAATATATAATGTGTATATTGTCTGTTTAGGTTTTGTTGTCTCTTATTGAGATATTTGCTGTTGACCATAAATCGGAGCACGTACCCCCGCATTGTTCCTGACACGATCACACAACAAGAAGCCCATAACATGTAAGAATTATCTGACAAATTGAAGAGCCAAGGTAAAAAAAACATTGAGAAACAGCTAATACGAGGAGGATCTACCTTCCATTGTAATTCCTTTTTTTTCTTAGATTTAATATCCATTGCCATGAGAACATTAAAAAGCATCATAGACCCTTCTCGTCATATTGTTGCTGTCAAATGTTGACCCTCACAAAAGTAAGTTCACAATATTTATGTTACACCCCTAGTCCGAAACTATCTGTAGTACTATTGCTTGGACCAGCAAATTCCACAAGTTCATCAGCTACCAATAATATAACCACAGGCCACATTACTTTCAAAGAAATAAATTAGGAATAGGTAATATATTTGAGGAATTGAAACCAGAATTTCTGTGATAAACTGAATTACAAAAAATAAATTCTGAAAATACATGCATTCTCATTAATTCTTTTCAGGATTACAGTGTCTGTTATAGCGCGGTCGCCGCTAGAAGGACGCCGTCGTCGGAGCGTTTTCACTGTCGCTGTAGTGGCGCGATGTCAGTGGGGTTTCTTAAACCCAAAATTGCCCCTGCCATGAGGTAGTTTATGGGCTTTTAAGGGTATAAAGGACATTTTGCCGCTAAATATAAAAAAAAGAAACCCTAATTTCCCTCCCTCATTTAGTAACGACGTCACCATATTCTCTCTAAACTCCAAGGGATCTCTCACTCATCTTCGCTGGCGATGACATCAATCCCGGTCGTTTTCAGGCAATCGTGATTGCAGTGAAGAACTGCAGTCTTTTCTTCTCAATAGAACAGATCGGTAAGACCACATCTTCTCTCTAATCATATAACCGGTGACGACCCGCTGTAATCGATTACTGTTTCCTATCAATGTTTTTCTTTCTGTTCACATGTTCATCACTTTTCCAACAACACTGCATGGATTTTCTTGCCAGCCATGTTATCATCCCAACAACTTCTAAGTATTATGCTTTCTGAGCATTCTATATATGTATTTTTGTATATAGTTTAGATTATATTTATGTATAGCAATTTAAAATAGCATTGATCCTACTACATGCTATCCCGCTATAGTATTTTTGGATCCGTCGCTATCCGGAATTGATATAGTATCCACAGTTTAGTATTTGCAACTTTTAGAAAATCTTATCAATATTCCCTCTAGTCTTTTTCGTTAGTCACCTTATAGAAGGTTTCGGGGATTTTTTTTGTAAGACACTTTATATTTTTATGAAGCATTTATTATTTTTTTCCTGTTTCTCCAAAATATATGGAATTAGTGGAAACCTAAATTAAAATGAGGGTAAATTATCATGTTATAATAATTTTAAAAAGTTAAAGAAAATCAACTAAAAAAGGAACGGAGGGAATATAAAATCAGTCATGAGAGAACAAACTTCATCTTGAAACTATAAGCACTGTCTGATTATAGTTCTTGAAGAATTCTCAATGAGAACATCTAATAGGCATCTAACAAGTCAAAGGCTGCAACTCATACAGGTCATGGTTATGCTTGATAATCAAAAAAATATGAATGATAAAGCAAAATGAATATAAATTCAGGAAATTATGAGGAGAGTTCCTTTTTTATAATCTAAAAGTAATTTTCTCTAATGCACAGAGTTCTAGATTTTAGTATACCACGCATTAGAACTTGGTACATGCACAATCACATCCAAACACATTGACAACAATTTACCAAGAAATTAATTGAAAACACAAAATATTATATGGTATAAATTAACTTTATATGCATATACTATATAAAACAGAAGCCAAATTTAATTTCAGCTTACATGAACTGACTTAGAGTAACTTCTAAACTTGTTGTAAGTTGTTCTTCCCTTGCTTTTTCTACCTCTCACACACTGGAGACAACCAATAAATGAGAAACAAAACCAGTAAGAAAAAGTATCAGCATGACTTGTTCAAAAATAATATCAATCTAAGAAGCACAAGCAACTAAATACCAAAGCTGCAAATTTTGGAATTAGCTTCTCATAATCTGCATGGCATGCTATATGAAACATTGAAAGGCTAAAGCTAATATTAACTAGAAAAGATTAATGAATATTTTCTTTGAAGAGAAAACTGGTCAAATTGGGACAGATAGACCTTTCATACTAAATTGGTGAAGCCCTCTTCCACTCCTATCATATTCAGCAGCACATTGTGGGTCTTTTTCTTCTTGCTAATGTTTAAAAACTCATAGTGAGTAAGAATCAATTTTAAAAAAAATCATAGACAACATTTAAAGGAATTATGTTAATTTGTGTAATTTTTTGTTTTTAAAATTTATGTAAGTACAAATTTTATAGGTCTTAATATATATCGGTTCAACCAGTTCAGCTATAAGAGTTAAGAACATTATACTTCAGAACATTTGCTCACATTTTTACATATAAAGACTACTGCAATTTAGTGATTATTTCTAATCTGCTGCTCACAAGACTTATTTGGTTTTCCAGCTTTAGCTTTGTTGCATGCGAGGTAGCCCAGGCTATTGTAGTCGACTTAATTAATTGCCTCATGGATCCTTTTGATGATATAGCTCCTGTTGCTCCCAGTAAGTGCTTCACTCCAAAGAGACTAGCAAAGTTATTTTAATTCATGTTTATGTCAGGTGCTTTTATTATATTCTTTTGTAGGTCGGCCAGGCCTGAAGTTTATGCCAAAGGCCAAATTGAAACAGTTGCCGCGAAAGGAAATATCTGTATTAGATCATGCAACCTCATCTACAACATTCAGTGATCGTCCACAGGTAGAAATTCCAAATTCAGAGGATGCCACAAATCCTAAAACAAAGAATTCTCAACAAGTTAGTGCAAAAGGACATACTGTGGCCTTAGTGGATGATCATCTTCATTCCACAATTGCAGCATCTGACATTGATCAGATTTTTACAAACTTTCCAAGATCAGCAAGTGAGGTAAATGTCATTTTTTGTTGATGGTTGTATTAATTCTTTGTTGTGTGTGTTTGTAACCACTATTTTTTTTTTTAATTATTTATCAATTTTAGGCAGGTCCTGTAGATTTTGAGGTGGGCTCAGGCACTAATATCATACCTCAGACCAACCTCAATACTGGTAAGTTATTCTTCATCTCGCACTTGTACAAGTTAAAATTTGTCCAATTCTTTTCTTATCTATAACATGGTTTAGGCACAACACAACCTGTTATTAGGTTGTGAATAGCACGCCATAATGCTGCTATAGCAGTGTCACATTGCATCATAATGGCCGGCCACTTTTTTGAGCTCATTGTGTCTGTTGCGAACGCTATAGCAACGGAAATCATGACTTTTTGCACACGTCTTGGGCTTGGCTGCTGCTGTGAGAATTTTTGAAAACTTAAAAATTTCCTAAATTTTTAATTCTGCAGAACCAAGGGTATTTTTGGAATTTTTTAGTTGAAAATAATAAGGCTTTAAATTGGTTTAGAAAAACCGATTGTGCCTCGTTGCAGTTTTGCACCCTCTTTTCTCTGACCCTTTAGTATTTTGCAACCCATTAACCCACTACTCCCTAGTGGCAGTGAGTTGCTGGTGTTTTCTGGCCAGTTTCTTGTCTTTTTACAAACCACCGTTCTTTGATCCTTGTTCTACATTTTCTGCCTAGTGCTTTGTTTTTCTCTTTGTTTTGCTATTGTAGGGCAAGTTGTTCTCCTCTCATTGTCCTTTTCTTTTTTGTTGTTATCTTTTTCTGTGTTTTATTGGTTTTGGGTTCCAGCTATTTTGTTCTTTTTTATTTATTTATTTTGCCCAAGTCTTTCCTCATTCAGTTCTAATTTTATTTGGTTTTTAATGTTTTGTTACTTTAAAGGCATTGAGTTAGAAGCTTAACCTTATATATTTCCGTGACTTTTGTACTTATATACTTACATATTTTGCTTAACTAGAAAATGTCATGAATTTTAGTATTTGTTTTCTAAAATTTTGACCATTTATATATATATAAAGCATAAGTTATGTAATTTATATGAAAAATTTCAAAATAGGGTCATCCCACTATCCCACTATAGTATTTTTGGGATTGGCTGCTATGCGCTGCTATTCAGGATTGATAACTATTAACCCTACTATTTCTGTAGAAAATGAATTGAATAACGTGACTGCTCCATGTACAACTTGCTCAATCATAGATGGGACGCAAGAACCACCTAAAAATGGGGAAGGTTCATTTCTTGATAGCAGCAAATGTTTGGAACTTGTGGATAATTCATTGCAAGTTGAAACGGATGTGGGCTTCAAAAGTGATTCAGATAATAAAGTTGCAATATTTGAGAGCAACATTCAATCAAAGTCAAACTTTGGAAGAGAACAAGAGGTGGATTTTTCAATTTTCTTGTGCTGTTTTTACATGTAGTTCTACTGATTCAGATGGGGGTAATAAAATTATGAAGCAAATTAATTTCAGGTAGTATCTGCAGAATTTGAATTGGATCCTTTCAGCAATGTCCTGCCTGATCCTGGTGCTAGAAATGGTTAGTGAATAGTGACATTGATGATGTTGTAAACACACTTCATATGACAGAAAGATAAACTATCTGTATCTTTTTCTTTATTGTAGCTCGTAAATTTCAACCCAAGATTAAGCCACGACCTAGAGTAGGCAATTCGGCAGCTAACGCCTCTTCTTCATCTAATGTTATGACGGAAAAGTCTGTTGAGTTGCCTAATTCTTGCATGAATGAATTTCAATCTAATGGTGATGGGAGTGACAGACTAAACCAGTCAACCAGTTTACCTTTACCATCACAGATACTTAGGACAACCGATTTACCCAATAAGCCTGATTATATGAGCCCAAGTATTCCATTCTCTGAAGACAACACAGGCTTGGCACCGGTAATTCCTTCCCAACTGGATTCCCTTAATGCTATGCTTTTGGAGGTTGCAACTCATAATGGAACTAGAGATTGGCCTTCTAGCTTTGGTAAATCATCCGGAGAGGTAAAGGAAAAATTAATGTTGCTTTATTTTTAATTTCATTAATTTGCTAAATGTTGATAAATTTTGTACCTACAGGCTGCAGACATTTTTTCTGGGCTGGAATCCCTTGATGACTTTCTCACCCAAGCTGCCTCTGATACAGGTGAGTTTATCATTGTGTCAACTCTCTTCAAATCCTTTTTAGCTTTCATGAGCATCACTTGTATTGTGCTGGCATTATATCTCTTAGTTATGGTTTGCTGGCTCCCAGCCAATTGTAACTACTTGACCTTAAGTTTCTTCAGTGGTGACTGGAAAAAAATTGTGTGTAGGAAAGCCAGCTCTTCATTCTTTCAATGAGAAGGGTACCGATGAAAATTTTGTCAATCATAATTGTAGATCTATCAACTCTTTTGGGGTATGTGATACTACCCAAGTTCAAAGGTGTCCCATGTATCAGACCACCCAAGATTCAATAACCTTCAATGAAGCTGCAGTTCTCAATGAGGACGATACACACACTAACAATAGAAGGTTGGAAACGAAGGTGAAGATTATGTGATTACAAAGATATGATAATTTTCTTTAAATGCTAAATAACTAATACTTTTTATTGAATACAATTGATCAAGTAGTATTGGTTTCAGGAAGTTGTGGACTTGAATCCTGCCTGCCCAGGTGACGATGTCTTTGAGTATCAATCTATGAAATCTGGTACAGATCCAACTTCTGAAACTCCAGTGCATGAAGAGTTGACAAATGCTGCAGATAGTCCCACATTGGCTGATTTTTTGCATGCAGATGTTGCTAGAGAAAAAGTAAGCATCTGCTATTATGACGTCTGTGTTTTTTTTTTGTTTTTTTTTGTTTTTTCATTTTTGTGATTTGTGAATCTGATTAGGTAAATTTTCATTTCATTTACCATGTTTCTCAGGATGCTAATGAGAGAACAAAGGATGGCTCAATTTCAAGTTCGTCGAGGAAGAATAAAAGATCGTCTATTATTGGAGAGGAGGATAATGATGGTAACACCTCTAGGCAGCTGAGAAAACAAACGGCTCACAAACCTACTAACAGTTCATTGAATGATGATGTTGAGGATGATGATAACCTTGACGCTAATGGAGATGAACTTGAAGAAAATGGTGATGACCATGAAGTTGATTATTCATCCAAGAAGGGAAGAGCATCAACAAGTTCAAAGAAGAAATCTGGTGCTAAAAATGGCAAGACAACTCAAAAGCGCAAGAGGGCTAATGATGATTTAGAAAAAACTATTAAAGAACCTCCTAAAAAGTTCTCTCATTCAACCCAACGAAGGAAAAGAACTGGTAGAACTTGCTAGACTGTGTGTGTTTAATTTTCAACTTTGGTGATATCTTATATACTTATGCAGAAGTTCTTTCTTTTTCATAGTGGACAAGGCTCTGCTGGAAATTCCTGAAGATGAACTTGATCCTCGAACATTGCCTATCAAGGATATTATTTTACTCGCAGAATATAGGGAGCGGCTTGCGGTGTGTATTATCTATTTTAATCCTTGTGTTACAATGCCCTACGATTATTAGTTTCATAGTATGGCACTATGTCTTAAATTTTCACTGATTGTTCCATTTGTTTTCCAATGTAGAAAAAGGAGGGAACACCTCAAACAACTTCCACCTATCAAAGGTACTGTCGGCTTTAGTAAAAGTATGCATTTAGATTTTATTTAATTTTATGATCTATATTTATCTTTTTCTAAGATAAAAATAATATAATTAATGGAAAAATTGGCTTATTTTGAAAAATATGATGCTGTCATCATCTTATTTATCTCAATGTCTCTGAAATTAGTACAGTCTTATTCTATTGAATAAAGGGATAACTGAAAAAGTGGAGGAACTTATTCAATAAAGGAAATTCATTGCATTCCCTTTTATCCATGGAAATGTGAGTGCCCTGCACAAAATCCATCACATGGCTTAAGTTACACCTCTCTTTCAAAATTACTTTACCAATTTGTCGAAATGGTTTTTGGTTGAATGGAATAAAGTGCCTAATTTCTACTGCTACTGTTGGCTGAGGGCATGAGGCATGGAGGGTGGCAGATGTGATGGTGGTGGTCCTTTTTCCACCAGTCCATAATGGGAGGAAATAGTGAGTAAATGCTAGGGAAACAAATGGAAGGTCCTCTATACTTTTGGCTTTCATCAATGCATGTCTTGCTTTTGGCTCACATCCCCTCTCTTGTCTTTGAGAACAAAAAGGAAAAAGTGAAACATTACAGGGAAAATGGACTGCATATTATCCACTGGCTGTTGCTTAGTTGCTACTGTCTCTTTTGAACCCACGTGAACTAGAATAAATTTCAATTTGCAAAATATTTATCTGCAGTGGTGGAGATTTTCTTCATGAGGCCAGTGCTAATTATGAAGAGGAGGAGATCTTTGGTTCAGAAGATGGTAGAGACCCAGATGATGATCGAGCCAATGGAAGGATTCCATCAGCTTCCTCTTTATTCAATTACCAGTCTTTCATGGAAAAGGCACCTAGGGGAAAATGGTCGAAACAAGATACTGAATTGTTTTATGAGGTATTTGTGTAATTCTCGCTAGATATCTGACATTTTTATTTCTTAAACACAACTATACACATGGTAACTTTGTCCTTTTCTTGGGGTTGGGTGAAAGGGCCATCCTTCACAGTAAATTAACTAGTTCTTTTTTATAACATAGGCTGTTAGGCAGTTTGGCACAGATTTTTCTATGATACAACAGCTTTTCCCTGATAAAACACGTCATCAAATTAAGTTGAAGTACAAGAAGGAAGAGAGGCAACATCCTTTACGGTTATCTGATGCTGTAAATAATCGTGCAAAAGGTTAAACCCTTTAGTTACTGTTTTGTGCTGTTCTCTTCCATACTGATGTTTTATTGTTTAAGCAGTTCAGAAATGATCCTCTAGATTATTTACGGCAACTCAATTTTATTGCTCTTCATTTACACTTTGATGTGGAAATAAAATTCTTCTAAATCAAATCTATACTCTTCTTGTAGATCACTCTCATTTTAAATTGGTGATTGAACGTCTGGAACTAGCTTCCACCAAGGCAGAAGACGACCCCAGTAGAGATGCCTCAGATTTTATGATGGGGGAGGAGGTGACGGACCTAACACCTGGAACTAATGTATGCACTTTTGCCCTGTTTATTTTATTTTTGATGTCTCCCTTCTTTTGGTGCACAGTTTATGGTATTTTCTTTTTAGTGGCATATTGATCAGAGAAATATCCTTATTGCACGATGTTTGCCTGTGGGACCGTGGAATATAGCAGGTTCATCTACAATAACGGACATTTTTATGTGGTTTTGGCCTTCGTTTCTCAAATACATTTATGCAAGATTTAAAGCTTCGTCTGGCTAAGTCATTAGTTAAACGCTGATATCTCTCTCTGGCTTTATAGTTTAGATGCCTAAGTTTATTATAGTATATTGCTGCAAGGGTGCAGGATAACTTGCATTAATTATTTGTTATCTTGTGAAAAAGTGGTTCTTTTTTTTTTTTTTCATAATTAGCAAGTTTGGTAGTGTTCAGATCCTCCAAGGGGGTAAAACAATTGCAAAAAGAAGAACGGCAATAGAAACATGAAAATCTTGATATAGAGTGGAGGTCAGGCAGCAAACATTCTTGAGTACGCTGGGGAACAACCTTTACCAATTTTGGGATGTGCACATCGAATAGAAATGAAAACCAGTAACACTAGTTCAGGCTTCACACGATATACTCTTTTTCTCTATGTATGAGAGGGATAATGAAACAATATTCCATCTCACCATCCTGTCTATATGATATGAAGTAAAACCTTTGCTGACATGACTTAGCCTATGAAAAACGCAATTATATTTTTCGATTGAGATATCCTTAATTATCCACACACTGGTTTCTGAAGTTTAATGTTCTTTTCCGTTCTAATTTTCATGACTCATTTTATCAAAATGCAGGAGGAGGTTGCAACAACTGAGCAGGGCGCCGATGTTAAAGCTCAGGAAGATTCTGCAGCAGTTCATAGTCCAGAGCAGTCTGATGATAGCGATGATGACTTTCAAAAATGGGCTCAGTATAAGAGTGCCTATTAGTTGAAGAGTATAAACTATATGAGCTCATTTTGTTTTTATAATATTTAATGTGAAATTCTTTTAATTGCTGATGAATTGTGACATCACTACCATTTTTCGATATCATAGTTCAGGGCATTTATTTCCTTTTATTTATTTATTTTCATTCGGTGTACAGCATTTTTTCCCGCAAGAATTTTGTAAGTTTGTAATCAACTCGTGTTCATTATATATTCTTTTATTTGTTCTCGATATATAGCAGAATATCGCAAAGCGTGAATTTAACCGTGACTGTCGATTGAAAATTGCTAGAGTACATAAAATTCTTAATTTTTCTTCTGATCGATAACTTTTAGGTTGGTAAATAATTGATTAAATTCTCATTTTAGGAAGTATAAGATATTTTAATCTTTAAAGTTTTAAAAATGTCATGTTAATGTTTTACTTTGGTTTTCAACTGTTATTTTAATCTTGAGTTATATATCATTAATATATAATATTTAATAAAATATTAATATATTATGTTAAATGATATGTATAATTAATTATATGATAAAAATATTGTTGTATATGATATAATATGTTTTAATTTTAATTTTTGAGATTGTTATTAACAAATTTTAGTGTCTAAGATGATTATCATTCTCCAACTATAAGCTGTATACGCTATGATTCATGCTCATCCTCACTTCCTTTGTTCTTACTCTCACCTCTTTCTCTCCTTTATTTGATCTTGCACTTGCATTTGACTTGTCAAAGTTAATTGCCTAAATTTTTTTTTTCGTTCTATTAAAGTTTCCAAATTTAACATGCCAAAATTCTAATTAGTAATCATATTATTTTATGTTTAACTATATTATCTTAAATCATTTTTGTTACACGAATAAATATATATAAATATTTTGTTACTGTAAATTGATGATATATAAAATTCAAATTACTGAAATGATAGACTAAACAAAAAAAAGTATGCACTAATATAATATTTTTAAAATTTTAAAGATTAAAATATCTAACATTTACTATTTCATTTCAAAGACTAAAATAGAAATTTAATCTGAATAATCTTTTATCATTTTATTACATTCAATAATACATGTTGGCCTTTTCTTCTGTCAGTGCACTATTTGTTCATTAGTTAGGCAAAGGTAGGGGTGTTCAAAAAATCTAATTTTATAAACTCAATTCATAACCAATGTTAAATTGATTTTAAAAATTTAGATCCATATTAAACTAGTTTTTTTATTAATTATATTTGTATAACCAGTTTAATATTTAAATCTATTTTCTAAAACTAAATTTTTTTTAATTATCCAAATCCATATGTATAAAGCAACCTTATATCTTTATTTATTAAATTTCAGCATTATATTAGTTTATAAAATTTTATTGTAACTATATTTTACCACTAATACTTTTTATTAATCTTAATTCTTATAATTAAAATTAAATATTTAAAATAATTAAATATATTAAAATATAACAAATATTTTTAAATTAATTACTACTATTATTTTTATATTTATGTTTTTTTTAATTTTTAAAATATTATAACAAAAAATTTATTATTATTTATATTATTAATTTTTATTTTTATAGATTTTAATTTAAATTTTTACTATAAACTCTGTTTATTAAAAATAATAATAAATATTTTATATACTTCTATAAAATATAATATATTAATAAATATTGTTAAAATTTTTATAAAATGCACTAATTTAATGTAATATTTTGTATAATAAATTAGTTTTATCTTAAAAATATAATTTAAAAATATATTAAAAATCAATTTTGCGTTAAAAATTAAATTTAAAAATAATTCAACGTAAAACTAAATTTAAAACTAGTTTCAACAAAAAACTAAATTTAAAATTGATTTTAAACTAAATTTAAATTTTAAAACTATTTTTGAACTAATTAAAAAATAAAATAAAATAGTTTAAAATTTAACTCATATAATTAATTTGTGTGATGGATAGATGATAAAAAGTAGAATATATCTAAATATTTATTAATTTAATAAAATATAAAATATAAAATATTATTCATAAATTAAGATATACGTAAATATTCTTTGAACATGTATTATTAATGTAATAGACTAAAGTACTCTTTGTATTCATATTTTATCTTTAATAAATGTTGATTTTTAACAAATAAATACATATATATATATAATGTTATATTATTTATTATAAAATTTAAATATTTTTTAATATAATAATTTAATAATAATTAAAAAAATTATAGTATATTTTTACTATATGTAAAAACAATTTAAAATCGATTTTAAACCAAATCTAAATTTTAAAACTAAATTTAAACTGATTTTAGAAAAATTAAAATAGATTAGTTTATAATTCAATCCATATAATTAAATTTTAAATAAATCTAGATTAATTTTTTAAAAATCCAATCCATGAACATCCCTAAGCAAAAGTTTGCGATAATATTTGTCCTAGAGTTGGGTTGGTTCAAAATTCATTATTTATAAAATGAAATGTTAAATTTTGCAAAGACTCTACACAAAATGCAATAGGAATCAAAGGAGGTAAACCATCCACATTGTAATTCTCGTTAAAATGTGATTAGGCCAAAGTTGAACTCACCAAGCTATAAAGTACATGAATCCAAAGATTAAAATTTATTATGTGATATTTCTTTGTTAGAAATTAATACTTTCTTTTATTATTTACAAGGAAAAATATTGTATGAATAATACATGAAATATGAAACGGAAGTATTATTTTTCAAAATATTAGATGTTCGTATACTACATGACATAAAGCAAGAGATGTGCGAAAAAAATTTCAAATAAAGTGTTTAGTTTAATAATTACAAACTCTGCATCAGTCAATTTAATCAAAAAAGTAGTTCTACGAATAATAGATTATGTAAAAGATTATTGTAAATACGAACAAATACTTTTAACAGGATCACATACATGGGGTGGTGACAGTATAATTAGAAAATTTTAACGATCAAAGCCAATTGTCTGTTTTCACAGCAAATAATTCATTTTATTGTTTAAAAAAAAAAAACTGCTCCCCACTACACGAAATGAAGGCAAAACCATTTTTCGAGGGGAAAAAAACAAACGTCCAGAACATCTGTCACTCAAAGATGCATCATATTCACGGTTTCAGGCCTTGGACTCCCATGATTGGTAACTGGTCCAGTCTCTCTGCCCTGGATTAAGTGCATGTCCCTTGGAATGATATATATACTGCTCACCTTCTCCAGACAAATTTTCTTTGTGCTCAACACCATACCTTTTTGGTTTCAGTAAAAGAAGCTGCAACAATTTCATTGCATTATTATCTTGGGACTTCAGATTTTCTTACCACATGGCATTACCAATCTCATTGGAAGGGAAAAAAATGAATTACCTCATCTCCTGTGTGATCAGTTATGAAGTGGAGCCAGCCATGCCATTCAGGTGGAACCTGGGAGGCATTATACCTAGTTTTCTCTGCATATTCAACCCACCTGTGCCTTCCTGACAAATATTAAGAAAATCAGGACATTTATAAACTTGTTTTTATGTCAAACTTAGAGTTTTATAGAATATCGTACAAAGAGTCTTTATTCACTTACAAGTTTATTTACCACAGAAGATAGAAAATCATTAATTAAAAAAAAGAGCTACGAAGGATCATAAGATTTTAAAAAATGATAACTGAAATTGTCATCAATATTCAGCAATTGACAATAGATGGCTGAAATCAAGCATCATATACATATATACACATAAAATTTTGTATAAGTCATATAATCACACAACGTTCAAATTTGATGCAGCAAAGTCATATTCAAACAATGGGAGAGGAAAGAAAGGAAGAAAATTGAATAATGAGCTGCTATCCTTTACTCTTTTATTTAACTTCTAAAATATATCACTAGATCACAACTTCATAGCTCAAATATTGGTATGATGTTTCTAAAACTCGAGAATATATTTTTCTGCAACTCAGCCTACATTTTGTTTCTCCCTATTTAACTCCACTCTTCCTCGTGTTGTTTCTTTTTCCTGCAATAATTATGTCCTTGTTATACCAAATAATTAGCGGACAAGCCATGGCATAAAAGTAAGGTTGCTGCCTTGTGACCTTGAGATACATGTTCAAATCTTGCAAATAGCCTACCTGCTTGTAAGTGTAAGGATGCGCAAATCTACCCTCCCTAGCCCCACTAGGTGAGAGCCTCATGGACAAGGTCATCATTTTTATTGATTCCCAATAAAAAGCTTCAACATCTTTCTTTGTTATCATAAACTGTCCCTCCCCCTCACTGTGTGCGCATGCACACACAATCCTGGCAATTTGAATACAGTTATGTTTGTTATGCTTCTTCTATTATTGATATTTTGGCTTCCAAGATTTTACTCGGGCTAATTGCAAAGATAGAGAGATATAGAGTTATTGTTCATATCTCTCTTTCTTTCCCAGATTGTTGGTATGGTCTTTTGATTATTGCTTGTGGTAACGTATCATTTATAGCATTCTACCCTGTAGAGCAACTGTTCTGAGACAGCATTTGAAAACACATAACGTTTCACCATATGCTTTTCTTGTTAATCATGTCATAGTGAGATATCTATGTGCACTAATCAGAATGCTTGATGTCAATGGTTGCTGCCCGTGTGCATGGTAAACATACCTTCTACGTCCTTAGGCTCAAGGGGGTAGTTGTAATTCATTACACTAAACCTAACACACACACAGATTGAGACACAAAAAGCAGGGAACTTACCATATTGTGTGTCTTCAAGTTTCTCATAATACTTATTACCAAATTTATCAATACCAACAAGCCTTGCCCCAATATTGTGGATCTTGGTTTGCCTGCATAAATTCAGAAAAGAATTAGACTGGCAGAGGAAAAATACACAAGGAAGTTCGAATATCACAGTAAAATACCAACAAAACAGCACATATATATATATATATCACTACAAAAAAGCTGAAAGTTCAAGCAACGCAATTGACTTACAAGAGATTTCCATCCGGAAGGCACCTCCTGAAATTCAAACCACAGAGTAAAATACATCAGCACAACCCTCAAAAGTGTCGAAATACGAATCTACTTTGTTCATCGAAACAAGGAACCCTCGATAATTTAATTAAAAAAAAAAAACATTTCTCCGAAGAATGCAGCACAAAATTCCGTTAACAAAGGCAACATTAAATTAACAAAAAGCTGTTGTATCAAATCTGAGCTTCATTTCAACTCCTAATTTACATTTTCCGGATATAAAAAAGAGAACTGGAAAAATGATGGAAATTTAATCAGAGTTAGAAGTGAATAAGCAATAAGATTCGTGAAATATTAAGAAAAAGTTTGGGGAAATTTGGAAGCGAATGAAAGGAAAGGAACAAACAAGTAGCCTTCATCCTTGAGCTCTCTGAGGAAGGCACCGAAACCCTTTTCTCTCACCGATCTGATCACATTCTTCACCACCGACGCCATCTCTCTCTCTCTCTCTCTCTCTCTCTCTCTCTCTCTCTCTCCTCTTCGCACTATATTATATTACTAAGGCTGCGTTTGGTACCACCAAATCCAGAAGAAAGGAAAGCAGAGATAAATTCTAGTTATTATCCAAGACGTTATTTTTCCCTGTCCTCAGTTAAAAAGGGGGGCTTTTTTTTTTCTTTTTTTTTTCCTCGGAAATCAGGCATTTTTATTTTTTAATATTTAAAACCTCAATAATTTCATGCAAAAAAATTCTCATTTTAGAATATAAAATGGATTTAATTCGATATTAGTTAAATTCATAAGTTATAATAAATAATAATCTCTCTGCCATTAAAAAATTTATTTGTATAAATATTTATTTATTTGTACTTATTCATTCATACCATGATTATATTATAAATTATTTAATGCATCAGACGCATATTAAATTGGCAAACACATTTAAGTATTTTTTTTATTATTTTATTATATGATATAGTAATATTTTAAATATGTCATAGTAAAAATTTAAAGTAATGTACGGTTTTTATAAAGATGATAAATAAACTAAAGCTCCATACACATTTTACGAGTATAGTTTCATTTTGCTATGAAATAAAAGCTTTTCTATGACATTTTTTTTATTCAAAAGCAATGATACGAGGTGTTTTAAAAAATTTTTAAACAATTAAAATTAATCTTTACTCACAATTTATAATTTCCGTTGACTTATTTATTTTTAATAAAATGAAGCTTGAATATATAATCATGTACTTAATAGACTAATCACACATATAAATACACAGAGATGTTATGTTATTGCATTAATCTTTCAAAATATCATGATAAAATTAAAAATTTTCTTATAATTGCTTTTTAAAATGTACATTAAAGATAATTTTTAATAATTAGTTAGAAAATTTTGTCTAAAATTTCTAAAATCACTAAAAAAGATTTAATTTTTTGTAATTAAATAGATTTTATATAAACAAATTAGAAGTTTAATTTTATCATTTTTATATCATTATGTTATAATTTTAGGACATGAACTAAAATAAATTTTTAATTTTTTTTAACATTTTTTCCCTTTTCAATAAAATACATGATAAAAATTTTAATATATTTTAAAATTAATTTATATTGAATATTATTTTATATATTAAATAAATAAATATGTCTATTTATATAAACAACGAGTAAGTATTTTGATCATCTAAATTTTATAATAGATAAAGTATAAATTTTTTAATAATTAATATATTCAAAAGTAAGTTTTTATTTTTTGAATATTAATAAATAATTTTAATAAATAAAATAAGATTAAAAAACAATTTAAATGATTAAATAAGATTATTTTTATTAGATAAAGACAAGTCAGTAAAAATATTGCTTAATTAGAACTCCAAAGAAGGTAAGAAAAAAGTTTAACTAATTGAGTATTTACTTTTAGCAGTGGTGTGTCTTGCAACGAGAGTACGTGGCAACATATGGTTGGATACACTTACATCATTTTCTTGAAATAATATTTACTTAAAATTAAGAATAAAAATTGGAAATTGGAAATCAACGGAGAGAGCGAAAGGCAGGAAAGGAGACGACCCACGACGCTTGTTTTTGCCATTCCAAGTCAGAGCCTTCAATTTCAATTCCATTTGGTATCTTTTTTCTTCTAACAAAGCTTTTTGATTCTTTTTTATGTTTTTTTTTTCTCATTTTTCTTTAATTTCATGTTTATTTGATTCCAAATTAGGGCTTATCTTGTTTGAGGCATTCATTTTGAATCTGCAGTTTGCAAATCGTTCACGCTTTTGGTTTTCGGTTTCTTGATGATTTCTAAAGCCATATAAAGAATCAAGGACTAGCTCAATCATTTATGGCGTTTCTTTGGCACTTTATTTTCATTTTCTTGATATTTTGCTTGATCAGCTACCAACTTTTATGGAACATTATATTTAATTTAGTTTTTTTATTCTTCGTTACGGAACATCCAAATGCATGTGAAGGAGGGATTGATTACAGGTGTAACTGATTGATAAATTGGATCTTCAGTTGTTGATGAAATGATTGTTGTGTGTGGTTTTATGCAGAGATAAACGATGAGGCTGAAGACATATGCGGGTCTTAGTTTGATTGCAACTCTGGCTATTACATATCATGCATTTAACAGCAGGGGCCAGTTTTATCCGGCAATGGTGTATCTGTCAACTTCCAAGATCAGTTTGGTTCTTCTTCTCAACATGGGTTTGGTCATTATGTGTAGTTTGTGGCAATTAACAAAAAAGATATTCCTGGGTTCCCTCCGAGAGGCAGAGATCGAGAGGCTTAATGAACAATCATGGAGGGAGGTCATGGAAATCCTCTTTGCAATTACTATATTTAGGCAGGACTTCTCTGTCACATTTCTTGCGATGGTCACTGCATTGTTGTTAATAAAGGCTTTCCACTGGTTGGCTCAAAAGAGAGTCGAGTACATTGAGACCACGCCTGCAGTTCCCTTGTTGTCCCATATACGAATTGTATCTTTTATTGGTTTTCTCCTTCTTCTAGATAGCCTTTTCTTATACAGTTCTATGAAGCATTTGATAGATACGTGGCAGGCTTCAGTTTCACTATTCTTTTCCTTTGAGTAAGCTTCTTCTTCCTTCTACTCCTTCCAACTGAGTTGCAACATATAAATAATGTAAATTGAAAAGTATGAATAGTACTGCAGCTGAAATTCTGGTTGGATGAGATTGAGATTACCCTTAACTTTTCTCTTTGTTTGACCTTGATTTGATTCAGTTATGCATAAATCCAACCAGGCCATGTTGATATGGTTAAATTCTCAATTTCTTCTTGGAAAATTCTAACTATAGGATTGGTGGCCAGAAATTGTAATTTCCTGTTCCCTAATCAAGCTCTACATTTTTTGGGAATATCATCACATAGTTAAGAGTGAAGTATGAAAAAGGAAAACCTATTCTACAATGATATCTTCAGAGTTGTTTGGAATAGGGATAAAAAAAGAGTTATTTGAATATACATTAGGCCATAAGACAGCACTTACAAATGATAAATTCATTCAATTCTTTAATACTGATACTTTGGCCGCATGATTTTCTTTCTTAATATTAATATTATCAAATAAAGAGGATTTAATACCAAATAAATCATATTATATGTTGCTGTTATTAAATAATAACTTAAGTTTTTTTCTTTATATGTTGATTTTATACTGAATAATTAAATTAGGTAATGCCTATATGAATTATGAATCATAGGCAAAGAATTTGTAGTACTAAGCATGCTAACTAGGATTATATTTGTAATGATTTGCAGTTTCGCATGTACCTGCTATTTGGTGCATTTTTTTTTCAGGGATGTGGTTTTGAAATGATATAAACTTGAGTGTTTTATTTGACAAACTATCTGTTTCTATCTCAGGTACATGATTCTCGCCACGACAACAGTGTCAATTTTTGTAAAATACCTTTTCTATGTCAGTGACATGCTTATGGAGGGACAATGGGAAAAGAAACCAGTCTTCACATTTTATCTGGAACTTATTAGGGACCTGCTTCACTTGTCTATGTATCTGTGCTTCTTTCTTGTAATTTTTGTGTAAGTTATCAGTCAACTCTTCTTTTGTAGATTTATAGTAGCCTAGCCTTATATGTATGCACTACAGAACTCATTAGTCATAGTCTCCGTTTTTTGTATGTCTCATTGATTCTTTCATATTTAGCCATTGAACTGCACTTAGAATCATATTCACTGTCATAATTGATAATGATACTGAGGGTTTTCTGTAACTTAAACATGCATGCATTTGATTTATTTGTTTCCATGCCCATCATATTTCTGTTTGATTACACGTCTCACCTACACAAGTTATGTTTTTCACCTAAACTAACTTTGGTTAATCAATTAGAAACTATGGTATTCCCTTGCACTTAATACGGGAGCTGTACGAGACGTTTAGGAACTTCAGAATCCGTGTTGCTGATTACATACGATATCGTAAAATCACTTCAAATATGAATGATCGCTTTCCAGATGCAACCCCTGAAGAACTTAATGCGTAAGTAGCAACTTGGTATAGCATCTCTATTTATTCATTCAATATTTACACAATACTTTTTACATGGCTATGCAGAAGTGATGCAACCTGCATTATCTGTCGAGAAGAGATGACTACGGCCAAGAAGCTTATATGTGGACATCTTTTTCATGTTCATTGCCTACGATCATGGCTGGAGCGGCAACATACTTGCCCCACCTGCAGAGCCTTGGTTGTACCACCAGAAAATGTGACCACTGCAGCTGTAGGGCAGCAGCAAGGATCACAGTCAGATGGTCACCGACATGGTAATCATATGATGATTATTCACTGTTGATAAATAGTGTTCATGAAATATGTTAGTAAAGTGCATGATGTCAGAATCGAACTGATGTTATTTCCAGAGATACAGTCTTTGGAATCAAAATGGAAAAAAGAAGGAAGCATAACTCTGACAACTGTCTTGTAATCTCACCTTCCACTGCATTCTTTTTTTAATCATTTTCTTTTTTAAATCTCTTTTTTATTCACCAATGAAAATTTTGTCATTCATTTTTTCATATTCAAAATTTTCAGTTAACTTTAAAACTTCTTTTCTTTTAACTTTGCTATGTTGCCTGCTTGAGTCTAATACTATTAGACTGTTAAAATAGTTTGAATGTAATATTTTTTTAATATTATTTATTCTAACTTGGAACAGAAACTGGGACCAGCACTAGAACTACATCACAAACTGAAGTTGGCAAAGGGGTAGGTACTGATAGTTTAAGTCGACATCAAGCCAGACTCCAAGCTGCTGCTGCTGCAGCTTCAATATATGAGAAGTCTTATGTGTACCCCTCTGCAACTTCATTTGCATGGTATGGCATTTCTGCTTGGTCAATATCCCTTTTGTATGACTGCTTGAGAAATCAGTAGATGCATCCTGCTAATTATTGATACTACACACTAATCTTCTAAAACCAGAAAAGGAGCATGAATGTCAAATTTGCTTGATTCAAAATTGATAGCTAAGTTAAAATATCATCATACAATGGAAATTTATTTAATTTTATAACTCATAGAATATTAAGAATATTGAGTAAACTTCATTGAGGTTTCTTTTTTGGGAAGGGGGTTGCACTGTCTCGGGGAGGTTTCTTCTAAATAAATGGAGAATGTGAGTTTTCTAAAGTATTCTTGGTAGGATAAAAATAGACGACTAAACAGAGTGGAAGAAATAGGACTAATTTACTTTGTCACGTTTACTATCGAAGTGTTAACTTGTAAACAATTCCATCCCTTAGAGGACTTGATTAGTATAGACAAAAGCTTTCAAGAATCAAAGCAATACAAGTTGTCACTTTTAGGGACATTGTATATTAATGCTAAAGCTAAATTTGTTCCATTTAGAAGGATTGATGGGTTTAGAGCCTGAAATCTTTTATAGAATAAGCTATTCCTTGAATTGACTTAAATGTCTGCTCTACAGAATTGGTTTTGGATATAACTCAATGGTGCTGTTTTCTATGTACTCCTCATGGTTGAAAAAGTCTTAGGTTGTTGTAACTTGTAAGCTATTCGTTGAACCTGAGAGACTAAGACATAGTTCTAATTTGTCAAAGCTGTGTTTTTAGAAGTTACATACAAATTCTGATTTCTTTTGAATTTGTACATGTTATTCCTGAAGTTAAACTGTTTTTGTGAAGATGTTGGACAACTGTTTTAAATCTAAAAGCAGACTAACCTTTGAGAAATATGTCTACACTTTTCATTCTGCAGAAGCTGACTGGTTTGATTCTAACTGTTTTTATGTAGTATGGTTTGGTGATTATAAAAAATGTCCTATTTCAAGGAGAAAAGATAAACTTGAAGCTTCTTTAATTTCATATCTTTATTTACATTTTATTAAGTTTCTGAATTTGAAAGTATATTTTTTTATATCCAAGCGTCTGTTTGCTGCTATCCTTGTTTTCTCAGTGGTGCTGTCAGGGGCTGCAGCAGAGGTGGTGGTGGTCATTTAAACAAAAAAAGATTATGGAGAACTGATTTTCCAAATAACTAGATAAAAAAATAGACACCCAAACAGATTTTTACATGATTTGACTTTTTGAAAACAGAAAAATCTTTTCAAGAATGGTAGTGAAACATGCCCTTAATGGCTGGATTTGTGCGTGAATCCAATTCACAATGTTGATCTGATTTGAAAACTATACTATTAAAATTATGAGCTGCTGCTCTCGTATAGAAGTATGATTCTGTACAATTATTGACTAAATCCGGTTGAATATGTTGCATCAGTTGTTTCATGAAACTGTATTTCTGGATCTAGATTGTTTAATAATCACACCATATTCTATGAAATCTGCTGTCATACATTTTCGGTCATTATTCTTTCTCATTATTCACCTTTTGCTAAGATGACTAGTTAACAACGCAAAGGACCAATTAATGATTTTACTCTTACATTTAAGGGTCACTAAAAAAATTGATGATAGTTAGTCTATAAAGTACTCCCTGTAATCCTTTTTATGAAAAACAAAAGACTAAATTACCAGGATTAAGGAAAGCAATCAAATCAGTTATGTTTTTTATAAATATAAATTTTATTCTAAAAATACCCACAATATTAAATAGTATAGTTAATAATTTGTATATTTAATAATATTAATAATGAAGGGTATAAAAAAAATTTAGCAATTAATACATCTTGAATCTATCATTTGTTTCTTATAATAAGGACTAAAAAAATGTTTTATTTTGTTTCTTATAAAAAGGATCAGAGAGAGTATTTACTTAACAAGGTGTGTTCTCTAACTCACAGCTCTCTTGGGTCCACCCTTCATCCCCCAGATCAAATATCTATACCTGAATCTACAAACGCTGACCATAATGGAGCACAAGCTTCCAGTGAACAAGCACAAAGGCAGTTTCTTATCCTTGGTGGACCAACAAATGTATGCTTTCCTCCAATGCAACACTTCCAATTTCTTAACCCTGTTTATGGAGAAGGGTTTGGAAATGATCCAAATGTCCCAAGCTCTCAGCTGGAAGCTCAAAGAAAACTTCTTCAATGCCAGATTCAGGTACTTGCACTTTGTTTTTTAACTTTATCCCCACATAGTAATCTTGGTTTTACCTGAATATAAAAGGTCAAATTTGATGATTCAATTGAGCATCAAATGAATAACCTCTTCTCCTGCCTGTATGCTCAATTCTACTTCCCCAGCAAGCAATATTTACTGATATTGTTATAACTATGTTCACAACACAAGTAGGCTTGTATAAGCACTGAGACATAACAAATGAATGCATACAAATAGGTATAAATTTTCTAGGTAGTCAGGATATTTTATTCTGGCATGTACACTCGTGGCTAAATTTTTCCCTTGGAGGGTTGTGAAATTGATGGTGATGCCATGTTTATAGTAGTTGAAATACGGGGGTTGATTGACTCCCCTACACTGCCACTGGGGAAGCCAAAGGCAGCTTTATGGTGGCACAACCATTGCGTCCTTAGCGTCATTTTTTTACCTGGTTTACCCGACGTTATGTGTTCGGTGCACGATCACTTTCATTGTTTGATAGCAACTCACAACAAATCTTCCTTTTCCCCTCTTCTCTTGTAAACAGAATCTGCAAAATGAGCTCGAGATTTTGCAGAGGATAAAAGGTGACAATAGTGTAGGTGAGGGCACATCCTCATCAGATAGCAGAGGCAAGTGTATCACTTCCACGTCAGCAGAATCTGGTCATGGTTATCTTGAGGAGATTCAAGATGGAAAAGCATGAAGTCGGCTCCTTATTTCTGGATTATACCAGGAGTAAACTGCCAAATGTAGAGATAGGAAAAGGAAAATACGGAAAATAACAGCATTGCTCTAATGTGACATCTTCTGTTCTTCGTGATACAAATACTAATCTTGTAAATGCATAGTGCCCCTTAAAAATGATTTATGTTGCCTTTTGTATTAATATGAATTGCGCTTATATTAGCTTTTAAATGAATTATAACCTTTTGGTCATAAATAACCATATTACGATGCCTGCTTTTAAATGAATATTCATGCATGTAGCTAGGATTAGTCTAGCAAAGTGGGTAGTTTCAATTTAATCATTGTGAGGCAATTTTGTTGTAAATTTGAGATTACCGATCATATATACAATGATGTACAGAAATAGCATTTCTTTTATCAGGAGAAATAGCATTTTAGTTTAAGCATATGGATGGCAAATTTACCTATATTTGTGGGTAAAATTACTTATAACTAAGGCTTTATTTGAAAAAGAGAGAAAGAAAAGGTTTGAAGGACAGAGAGAGGAAAAAGGAGTGAGGAGGGTTAATAATAATAAAAAAAAAAAAACTTTTTAAAATTGAAGGAATTAAAATTAAGAGATTAAGAGGATTTTGAAATATTTATGAAATCTTTCTCTCATTTAAAAAGTTTTAAATAAGGATTATTATTATGTAAATATCTTTTTTCTCTTTTTCTTTAAAAACTAAGTCTAAATTGAGCTTAAGGTATCTGTCGGCTTGAATAAATGCTTTTTTTTTCTCTTTTATTAACAAGGTGAGAATGATTGTTGTAGTACATGTATTGGTGAGCATCTAAATAAAAAATTATTTAAATACTTTTTTGTTTATTAAAATAAATATGACCTTAGCAGTTGATATATACTTTATATTATGCTATATTTACAAAATACTTTAATTAATTTATTTTAATATTTTTAATAAATATTCATAAATATTTATGAATACTCATAGATAATAATAAACGTGTTTAACATTTATACAATTATAAATTAAGCAAGAGGGAGATTTTTACGTGTAAATAGAAGTAGTAATTTACTATTCATGCCTGTCTCTTAGGATTGTCATACCTAAATATAAGTAACATATCATGATTATCACTAAAATTTAAAAATGTATAAGTATAATTTCAAAAAAAAATATTTTTAAAAATGAATATATAGGTGTTAAATTAAAGTTTCTCTAATCTCTAAAAAAAAAAATTAAAGTTTCTCAGCTAATCGAAAAAATAAATAAATAAAGTTTCTCACTCAAATTTATATTTTAATCTATAAAATATTTGTTTATTTTTGTTTTAAAAAAATGACTCAGATAATAACAACTTTAATTAAGATTTAAATTTAAAATTACAAATTAAACTGAAATAACTTTTTACCAGTTAATTCATCAATCTTGTAGTAAATATTTTAACATATTTACTTTTTGTCAAACAAGAAAAATAAAAACATTTTTCTAATTAACATTATTAATAACAATAAAAAGAACACTAATTCAAGTAAATTTAACTCAATTAAAAGAATGTTTATTTGTAATTCTAGTTTAAAAATATAGTCAACACGCAGTTATATAATTATATTAGATAGAATTATTAGATTATTTAATGATTTGAAATATTAACTTTACAATTTAAATATATATAAATTATAGTATTTTTTATTTATTTATCAAGGAATTAAGTTAAATGTGTGTACATGTCCATAAAATTTCTCTTTATCTAATAAGTCAAAAAAGAAAATATGTATATCTAATGAATCACTAGATGAGATCAGGAAACCTTTCTCAACGTTATAAAGTAGAATAGTCACAAACTATTTTTACTAAAATCTAATAATAATATATTTATTAATTAGTTTTATATAAATTTAATAAATAATATCATAATTGATATTAATAATTGAAATATATATCCTAAACAAATTATTAATATTAATTCATAATTAAATAAGATATTAACATTCATAAAAAAAATAATAACATGAATGAGTAATGTAGTATTATCGTTTGCAAGATTTTACAGTAATTATCTAAACATTAAATTCATGTAATCAATGAAAACTCTAATAGTTGTGAGTAGTTTTTTGGTGAATACTCCGATAGTAGGACCAATAGTAATGATTTTTATTTTTCGAAAAATTACAAAAAAAACATTTTATAAGTTTAAAAAAATGAAAGCCAAACATTTTATGCACACACAAAATCATCATCTACTAGTCACGAAAGTTGCCAATAGACTTCATCTATCTTCTTATAGGCCATCCTTCCCTCTAATGGTGCATGTTGTTGCTGATCCCCTTTGCATCATTGAGTACCTTCTTCGAAAACACATTTCACGGCGTGGAAAATGAACATAGACCTTTTGTACTGATTCTTTTGGGTAGAGCATTTGGTTTTCTACTCCACAAACTTCAATAAGCATTTTGACCTATTGCTACTCATTCTTGACACCTTTCATGCCCCAAGGTTTTAAGGTAATTCCATTGAAAACCCCTCCATAACTATACTAAATGGTGCTTGTTTTGAATTTTATGACTTGAGGTGAAGCTTATAAGTGTAATTTTAAGATTTATAAACAAATAAACTTTTAAATGTCAAATAATTAGAAAGTGCTTGCATGCCCCATCAGTTCTTAAGGTAACTTAGATTTTACTTCATTTTTTATTTTATACACATCAAATCTTACTCCTGTTTTTGGTCAAAGTCAGAGCCTTCGTATATCGGTATCTAACTTTCCACGCAATGTGAATGCGTCTTCTTTTTTTCCTAGTTTACATGACTCCATTTTCTAAGTGATATCTCACCTGATTAATACAACAAAAGAAATTGGGTTTTACGAGTTACAAAGAGTTCGATCCCACTTGTTTATTTTTTTTAATTTTCAGCCTAGTTGTCATGAGATACACAAAAGATTAGGTTCAATTAGGTTAAAGTTTGCCTAAATAAACTTATTTTTGTTTGTTAAAATGTCGCTTTGAGTTCATTATTATAAGCTATTTTATAACTTGTCGTGTGTCTTTTTCTATGGCTGATCTATCTGTTACTAATCTCAAATTTAAGTACATGTTTCAATAATTAAAAAGAAAAAAGTGATTATTTTGACTAGGTAAACGCTGATACCCACCACCATATAACTTGATCTTGATCAGTTCTTCTTTAATTTATCCACAAAACCAAGAACAAGCGTCTCCTACTCATCAACACAAGCATTACAACGCCACAAATTTCGTCTCAACTCTCACTCTACATCACAACTAAGCATGCATGAATAAACTTCTAAGTTAAATAGACACGAGTAACTTGAAACGAATTCATATTCCGATCACTTGAGGGAAAAGAAATAGCACTACATTATAAAATTTCAATGACATAAAATCCTTTGTATTATACTGTTAAGTTTCTAAACGAGTAAGTATACCAACTTTTTTGATGAAGACTTAATATTAGTTATACATACGTAAGGTTTGTTATACATTCCACGAATGTCCATATTACTACTTTTCTTTTCTTTTAAAAGTATGGGTTTTGTTAATCCACATCTCTTAAAGTTGACTTTAAGTATTTATAAATAAAAAAGTTGTATATTTATTACATTAAACTTATAAATATTATAAAAGTATAATAAATATTTTTTAATAAATTTCACCATTATTAGTTATTTATCTTAAAAACTGATATTAGCATATTCCTTAGAATATGTAGAAAGAATGTTGTGTAAAAAATAATGTATAAATAGAGATCAAGTAAACTAAAAATGATGCTTTGGTATGAGGTTGGTAGGTGGCTCCATCCCTTGACCGTTCAAAAATCAACAACTCAAATTTAAATTTTATAAAAATACTGAGTCATGATAATTTTTTATTAGTTTAGAACTGAGTCTTGCTCCAACACTTGCAACAGCCAAGTAGAAAATATATACAAAATAAATAAGGAAGGAGAGAAGAAACAATGGTGGAGTTCCAATACGACCCGAAAACGTGGTACAAAGTTATACCGGTGACGTGGTACAACGTTAGCCGTAGATTTCATTTGCACTTAACTACGACCAAGTGACGCTTTTATGGCTATGACGGTTGACTGAAATTGAAATTTAAAAAATAACATGAAAGAAACGTGTTTATGAATCAAATTTCTCAAAATAAGGAAATTCAAACATCCCTATAAAACAAATGAACATTGCAACAAGAAGATTTCGAAATTAAAATATTTTAGATTCAATGAACAAAGAGCCATTTGAAATTAATTTCTATTAGATAAACAAGCCTATTTGTAAATGCGATTAATGCAAACATAAATTATTTAAGCATTCTACTTACAACTTACATAAAAGTATATGTTGTTAACACAAGTGGACGACCAAGACTTAATTAGATGCAAGTAAATGTTTAAAAACACTGACTAAAGAATAAAAAAAATACTACTAACCCATTATTATCATCATAATGTCGAATATATATATATATATATATATATATATATATATTTAAAGACAAGTAATAAGAAATTAATAAATTATTTTTCTTAAAATTTGTAGCTTTTAATCAATTAATACATTAAAATTTGCTTTTAATATGTTTTTAGCATTTTTAAAAATATTTATCAAGCAATGGTAAGATTATCAATTAACAAAGACTATTAAGAATAATTGCAAATTGCAAATTGCAAATTGCAAAAAGGTCAACCATAGGGTCATTTAGTAGGCTAATCCATTCGAGACCCAAGATTGATGCATGTACCCATGAATCGCCCATCCCCAAAAGGCATAAAATATAAGCAATAATTGGTTGATAAATAAGAAATAAAAAAAATAAAAAAAGAGGGGGTAGAGAAGATATTGAGAAACATGCAAGCACCAAACTCCAAAGGTAACAGACTCACGGGCAGTCATAGTAGACGGTGGAAATTGTCCATTAGAAGTCCATCATAGGATGGCATATTGGTCAAGCACGTGACCTTCACCTACCCTCCAATCCCACCCTTCACTTACATATATAATGCTATCGTCCCATTCCATTTTGCAGCACATCTTCACCCTTCTTCTTCTATCTACTAGTTAATTAAGTCTTCTAATTATACTACTTTCCTATCCAAATTTTTTATCTTTGCTTCAAGCTTAATTTTTTCGAAAGAAGAAGGGAAGATGGCTAGTGTAGCTGAGATTCGCAAGGCTCAAAGGGCTGAAGGCCCTGCAACCATCCTTGCCATTGGAACTGCAAATCCACCCAACTGTGTTGATCAGAGCACTTATCCTGATTACTACTTCAGAATCACTAACAGCGAGCACATGACTGAGCTCAAAGAGAAATTCAAACGCATGTGTAAGTAATCTTTTTATCTCTCCACTTGTTTTTCCTAGATACCCTTTGTCTTAATTGCTTCATTTGTATAACTTTTTTATGTTAAAATATCTGCTTAAACTTGTTTTTCATAAAAAAATAAAACAATCAATATTTGAAATACTCTTATGTAGCATGCAAATATCAACTAGTAAAAAGGGTCTACCAGGATGCAAATATTAAAAAGCATCACAGTTTGTAAAATTTACTCACTGTTCTCAGTTAACCTTTTAGTATTTGCATTACAATAAAACTCACTGTGTGATTTGCTCTTGACTTTATAATACTAATGTTATTTCTTTATACTAATTTTCAGGCGACAAGTCTATGATCAAGAAGCGATACATGTATTTAACAGAAGAGATCTTGAAAGAGAACCCTAACATTTGTGCTTATATGGCACCTTCTTTGGATGCTAGGCAAGACATGGTGGTTGTGGAGGTACCAAGACTAGGAAAAGAGGCTGCGGTCAAGGCCATAAAAGAATGGGGTCAACCAAAGTCAAAGATTACCCACTTAATCTTTTGCACCACAAGTGGTGTAGACATGCCTGGTGCTGATTACCAACTCACTAAACTCTTGGGACTTCGTCCATATGTGAAAAGGTTCATGATGTATCAACAAGGGTGCTTCGCAGGTGGCACGGTTCTTCGTATGGCTAAGGATTTAGCTGAAAACAACAAAGGTGCTCGTGTTCTCGTTGTTTGTTCTGAGGTCACTGCAGTCACATTCCGTGGCCCAACAGATACCCACTTAGATAGTCTTGTGGGCCAAGCCCTGTTTGGAGATGGAGCAGCTGCAGTTATTGTTGGGTCTGACCCAATTCCACAAATTGAAAAACCTCTCTTTGAGTTAGTTTGGACTGCACAAACAATTGCTCCAGACAGTGAAGGGGCCATTGATGGACACCTTCGTGAAGTTGGGTTAACATTTCATTTACTAAAAGATGTTCCTGGGATTGTCTCAAAGAACATTGACAAAGCCCTAGTTGAGGCCTTCCAACCATTGGGTATCTCTGATTACAACTCAATCTTTTGGATTGCACACCCAGGTGGGCCTGCAATTCTTGATCAAGTTGAGCAAAAGTTGGGCCTCAAGCCCGAAAAGATGAAGGCCACAAGAGAAGTTCTTAGTGACTATGGTAACATGTCAAGTGCCTGTGTTCTATTCATCTTAGATGAGATGAGAAGAAAATCAGCACAAGATGGACTTAAAACCACTGGTGAAGGACTTGAATGGGGTGTGTTGTTTGGCTTTGGCCCTGGACTCACTATTGAAACTGTGGTTCTTCACAGTGTCGCCATATAAGAGCCCTAATTATTTCATTATTATGTATCACTTTTCAAACCCCACTTCCCTTTGTAACAAAAACAATAACTCGTTTGGAGTTTCTTTGTGTACCCTTATATTAAAATAATACATGGCTTGCAACTTTGAGCCCTCCCACAGATATTTGTTTTTAAATTATGTCTTTTCTGTTTTATATTATACTTATAATTATATTTTTTTTATATACATTATGTCATGTGATTATTTATAATTGTTTTTTCTTGCCCAATTTCTTACTGATGTTTTTTATTTAACTTTTAAATATTTGTTCACTTTTTTTATAGAGACAATAAAAATTGTTGTATTAATTTAATATTAAAATAAAGATAAGTAGAAACGAAATAGAAGTTAGAGATTGAATATATTTTAAATAAATATTGCTTAATTTATCAAAATTCACTTAGCATAATTATATGTTTAAGGTTAAAGTTCATTTTTAAAAAGTACAAGCGAAGTCATATATTTTTTAAATTTAAATGCAAATGTTTTAATTGTGAGTTATTCATTTACGAGTTTCAATAATTTTACGGTAGTTATCAAGAATCTAACGTAATCCTCTTCTCTTATTTAGCTTCAGAATCTTTTATGAGACTGTACGTGAAGATAATATTATTAAATATATTTATATGATTATTAATATATTTGCATTGATTTTTTAAAACTTAGGTTTTAAATATTTCAATTATAAATTATGTAAAAATACTATTCCCAATAACAATATTAAAAAGCACGTTGAAGGTTTTGTTGATTAAAAAGATTGTCTGTTTCATTTCAATATGTTTATCATTACTATTATTTAATTAAAGTTTATAAAACAGGAATCACAAAGAAAGATTAAAATGTTATACGATTATTTTATTTAGAGTTAAAAAGTATTATATATATATATATATATATATATATATATAACTTAAACAAATAACAGTATAAAAAAATTAAAAATTATCAAAATATGGTATTTTTAAAAAAATATAAAAATATAAATTTTTTCAAAAGACCAAAAATTACTAGTGATGCTTATTTAGTATTTTTAATTTTTATTTATTTTTTAAAATAACGTTTAAAACTTTATGTCATTATTTCATTAGTATTCTACTGATTAATAGTTTTTTTTAAAAAACATTATATTTTAATATATAATTTCTAAATTTCATATATATAAAGTATTTTTTATAGTACTACATAATATGATTATTACTGTTAAGTTTAAATTAATAAATAATAAATTAATAATTTATTTAAAAATATATAAATATTTTTTAATTTCTAAAATATTAAAAAATTTACTATTAATTAAAAAATTATATAATTTTTCTTCAAATTTATGGTACCGTTTGAAAAGAAGAAAAAAAATATTACGATGCTATTAAATTTAAAAGTGTATTGGATACTTTTTCTATATTATACTAATATATTAAAATATATATATATATATATATATTTATTTTTATTTTTTTTATTTTTTTTAAATACACTACAAATTTTATCGCTAAAATCTAACAATTATATCAGCCGAAAAGATGCAAAGAAAATAAAATCTACGCGGAAATTCTTACGTCCCCAGGAAACCCTAATTTGGCTCTAATAACTGCAAAGATGGGTCTGATATGAAATGTTTGATGTTTCCTCTTATTGATGACAATGCCTTTTCGTTTACTCTTAGCCAAACATAAAATCTTACCCTCTTTCTCTTCCATTCTTCTTCAACGCTACCATCATCGCTTTTACTCTTCGGCAGCATTACAAGTTTCAACCACAGATCTTGTGAATGAGATTGCTCGTCTACTCAGTGATCACCGTTCCCCTCACCACGATCTACAACTTTCTCTCAATCCTTTTTCATCACAAATATCCACAAACTTGGTCGAACAGGTCTTGAAGAGGTGCAACAATCTCGGTTTCTCAGCCCACAGATTTTTCCTTTGGGCCAAATCAATTCCAGGGTTTCAGCACAGTGTCCACAGCTTCCACATTTTAGTGGAAATCTTAGGAAGTAGTAAACAATTTGCCATACTCTGGGATTTTCTCATAGAAATTAGAGATTCTTCTTGTTATGAAATCAACAATGAAATTTTCTGGCTCATTTTCAAAGCATATAGCAAGGCTAATTTGCCAGATGATGCAATTCGGTCTTTCGCTAGAATGAATGAATTTGGAATTAAGCCAAGTGTTCACGATATTGATAAGCTTTTGTACTGTTTATGCAAGAGGAAGCACGTTAAGCAGGCTCAACGATTTTTTGATCACGTTAAGAATCGTTTTTCGTTAACTGCTAAAACTTACAGCATTTTGATTAGTGGATGGGGTGAGATTGGTGATTCGGAGAAAGCCCGTGAGCTGTTTCAAGCAATGCTTGAGCAAGGATGTGCAGTGGATTTGCTTGCATATAATAGTTTGTTAGAGGCTCTTTGCAAAGGAGGTCACGTGGATGAAGCTACAAATGTTTTTTATGATATGCTGTCAAAAAAGGTTGAGCCAGATGCTTTTACTTACTCGATATTCGTTCTCTCATACTGTGATGCAAATGATATGCATTCAGCTTTCAGAGTTCTTGATAGAATGAGGAGGTATAGCCTTTTGCCTAATGTGTTTACGTACAATTGTGTTATAAAGCGACTTTGTAAGAATGAAAACGTGGAAGAAGCTTATCAATTGTTGGACGAAATGATGTCGATGGGAGTAAAGCCAGACACTTGGAGTTATAATGCAATACTAGCTTACCATTGTGATCATTGTGAGGTCAATAGAGCCCTAAGGTTAATGTCTAGAATGGAAAAAGATACTTGTCTCCCTGATCGCCATTCGTATAACATGGTGCTCAAATTGCTGATTAGGATAGGAAGGTTTGATAAGGTAACTGAAGTTTGGGAGAACATGGGGGACAAAAAATTTTATCCTTCTGTTTCAACATATTCTGTCATGATTCATGGTTTTTGTAAGAAGAAGGGAAAGTTGGAGGAGGCATGTAAGTATTTTGAAATGATGATTGATGAAGGAATACCGCCATATGTTACTACCGTTGAGTTGCTGAGGAATCGGCTCTTGGGTTTTGGTCTTTTGGATCACGTAGAAATACTGGCAGATAAGATGAGGCAGAGCACTTCCTGTTCAATTCAAGAATTTGCAAATATTATGGTTGGTCATAGAACAGCTCGTAAAACTTTGAGACATGATGAGATGGACATAGAAAGTGACTGAAGAAGTGACTATTTGTTTCTCAAAGTACTGTGACATTTGTAAAAAAAATGCTCTATGCTATTCTGACAAATATATAGAGGCTGTCATTTCATTGCAGCAGAGCACATAATGTAGATGCTATTTCTGTGGGCTATGGTTAACTCATGCATTTCAAGGTGCTAAATATAATTATAATTATTTAATTTTACCTGTGTGACATATTTCAGATGCCCGGTACCTCCTAGAAAATTTTCATGGAACACTTAGGTTTCTATATCTTGAAGAAATTACTGTCTTGCAGATTTAGGATGGCAGAGCTTGATATTACAAGTTTGATAGTTTCAGGAGTCTTTCCTTGCTGGATATATCTTGCTCTATAGGCTATAGTACCATTTGTTTGGCATGTCACTAGGCTCCAGCCAGTTCCATTTCATTGACAGTTAGACACCTACCATTGCAACAGATGGGTTTTGATTGTTATCAGGATAGAAAGTTGCTGCTGCTTTATTCCATTGATTTAAACATCAAACTGGTACGGAAGTTGTCTATACGCTCGAGATATCTCTTCCTACGTGCTTATATGTGTGTGTCTGTTGTGTCAGATTTAGTATTACGCAACTGATGCAGTCTTTTTTTAGTGGTTCTTGCATGTGCATTTTGTAAACCCTTCATTTCTCATAAGGGTGGGGGACACATTATCAGCTCTTTAATATTTATAGCAAAGTTCATTTTAGTTTCCCAAGTCCAATGCATGTTCATAATCCTATCTTCAAGGATTCACGGTTCCTTTTTTTTTTTGCACATTAATATATTGCATAATTACAAGATAGCATGCAATAGGATGGGGTAGTTTTGCTTTGTATACTTTGTCATTGTTTATTATTCCGAGTCTATTTTATCTTTTTCTCCTTCCTTACATATCGCTGTAATTTCAACAACTTCATTATCCTGAATGTTACACTTACAGTACAGCTTCAAGCTTGGTCATTAACTATTAAATGAGCTTGATCGAACCCTTATTTTAGGTTTTTCAGTTCGTTTAATCACAATTATCTTCGATTTTTGCAGTAATAAATGAACAGTGGAAGATTACTTACACAGATTAGGGGCATAGTCTGTAACAGGTGGCAATGAAAAGGGAAAAAATCTGAAAATTTTCCAAATGAAACCAAAAACAAAGCTGCTGCTGAACTCTTGCATAACAAGACTTGATATTCAGGTTGGCCATATAACAAAAGCTCAAAAGCATCCCAATGCAGATTCATTATATGTGGAAGAGAGATTTGTTGGTGAAGAACTGAAATGTAGGATTCAATCAGCAAAATGGAAAATAAATTGTGTCAGTGGGCTTGTCAAGTATGTCACTTGATGAAATGTAGGTTTCCGTCAATCAGGATCTGCATGTCATTTTTGTAAAACAACTTTTGAACTTTGAAGGCTGCTTTATCTACTAGTTCGTTAGTAACACCATTAGCCTTCTTCATAACTGAAAGGCACAGTCCTTTGCAACCCCAATACCAAGCTTGTTGCGTTCAATGATGATCGTGTCAAGGTAAGGAAAGACATGATGCCTTCGCTCCTACTTCAGGATCTTGGTGCATAGTTTGAGATGCCTGTTAAGAGTGCATGGTTAAGTATTTCTTTCAATTGCTTTGCAATTCCAGATCAAGTTGGCTACCCATTTCTGCTCATATTGGAGAATTGGAGGTGTTCCTGATGAAATGCTAAACTCAGGAAAGGTTTGGCAATCTTTGCAAGTCGATCTGCACCCAAACAAACGATCAAGTGACCTGATACAAAAGTATTCCTTTCACCTCATTAGCAGGCTTTTTTTGTAAGGTGTTTGAAAATTTGGTTTTAAAGCAAAGTCGATGACATCGTGTCATCTATGTAGTCGAATTCACCTAATGAGATAAGGTTTGATTGTTGTTGTTATTGATGTATCTTTAGCACCGAGAATCTGGCTTGCTGAAATGGTAATACTCCTCATGTTGGCCACAAGTGTAGAATTAACTTGTTTATTCGATTTACATTTTTTTTTTTCATTATTGCTGGATTTAGATTGCGGTCGAGCCACATTGTTGCCATTATTGATTAAATTTGAATTCGGTCTCAAGGTACTCTTGCCATGTTTCATGGGAAACTATTTTAATTCTTTCAAAGGCACTAGCACTTTAGAAAGTTTTACACTCGATTTAAGTCTTTATTTAACTTATATATAATAAATTATAATTTATTACTTTATTTATTGTTAAAGGTAAGTTAAATAATAGTTCAAATTAAATATACGAATTTTTAGATAAAATCTTTTTTCTGTATGTATATATTGTTAAAAATTTAATTTTGATGATTTTAGCACAGTTGGGCAATAGGCTCTAAATAATAATTTATTATTAAATTATTTACCTCTGGAAAAAGTATATATTTTGTGTAAAAAAATAAACAATTGTTAAAAATAATAATTATTGTTGTGAAAAAGAAAGAGATTGTGAGCTTGTTATTTTAAAAAAATAATTATTGATTATTTGTCCAAACTATTTGACTATTAATGATTGGATTTAGAAGTTTTCAATTATGAAATCAAATTCCAAAACCTGTCAACACTAATATTCTTACAGATTTTAAAGAACTCGATAGTAAAAAATATGATTTCATTAAAGTATTAAAATAGATTATATGAATGAACAACTCGTCCAACTAATTAGGCACACAGATGAGAGAGGCAAATTATTTAGTTCAACCGAATTGAATAAATCATAATTAGGCTGTAAAAAAAATCACATTGTTGATGTGTTATATAAACGTCCTTGAATCAAATAAATTTATAATTTTAAAAGAATGATAAAGAAATCAATTCTCAAACAATATTTAAAATATATCTAGTTCTATTTTGTCTCTTTTTTCTTTAAAAGTAATTATTTATTTTCAATAATTTTTTATTGTTTAATAAAATCATGTTGTGACCTAACATGTAAATGAAAAAGGTTAAAATATCAAATTGTCTTTTATTTTATTTTATGTCCTTAAGAGTAGTGAGAAAAATATGTTTAAATATTTTTTTTTATCTTTATACGAAATCAATTTTTTTTATTTGGTTTCTATTAAAAAAATTGTAAACAAGTCTCTAAAAAAATATTTTTAAAATAATAATAATTAATAATGTTTTTATAACGATGTTATTTCATATTTAATTTTTTTTTTATCCTTATATATAACATACCTTTTCTTTATTATAGTCCTTATGCATGATACATTTTTATTTTAGTCCTTACATGACTATAAATTTAAATGACAGCAATCAAAATAAATAAATAAATAAAGAGTGTTATGAATATGAACTAATTTTTTAAAGTATTTATTAATAAACCCAAAATAAAACTCATTATCAAAACAAGTAGAGCAAGTTTACAATAATTAATGGTATGGTATAATAAGTAATTTACTAATTAGGTGTTTGAGAGTTTAGTCAAATTTATTTTATTATTATTCTTGATTCATTTGAAAGATTATTGTTTATGAGATTAGTATCATCCTTTGATACTAACTTATATTTTAGCTATTAAAGTAAATTTTTAATTAAAGGATTACATTTAAATTTTGTTCATAAAGTAAGTAATTCACTATAATTATATTTAAAAGTATGAGTAAATTTAATTAGAAATTTTAGCTTATAAAATGAATGAACAAAATTAAATAGAAAGTTGTCACTACTTTTTTAAATGGAAAAAAAATGATTTAACATTTGAAAATTAGTTTACATTCTTTTTGAAATAAAAACAAAATATTTTTTACCTAACTATCAAACACTATTTTCTCATAATAATTTTTATAACCACGTTAAGTTATAGTAATATTATTTAAAATCGTTAAATTATCATTCATAATCTATCATGAATTAATGCAACATTTTTTAACTTATGTTTGATGGTGATTTTTCCTCCTTAATATTTTTTTTTTATTTTAACTCTTTTGTGAAATATTTTTTATCCTTTTGATTTTATTTTTTTGTATAAAGATAAAAATAAAGTTGTATTATGTACAAGGACCATAGTAGTCAATCCTGTACAACAGCATGGAACAACTAATCTTAAAAATATCATAATGGAATAACGAATAGCTGAATGACTATTACTCTAAAAATTTAAAATACACCAAATATAGTTTACGTTAAACATTTATATACTAGATAATTTAAATTTTAATCATTTGGAAGAATTCTCATATGTCAAAACAAAACACAAAAAAATAGAACAAAATAGAGCAGTTCACCAAAAAAAAGCCTCAAATGCAAATGGCTTGTTGGAAAATGTGCAGGTCTCGCTGAAAATGAAGTAAGATGATTCTAACTTAATTAGATATAATGAATAGATTTAGATTTTGGTTGGAAAGTAACCCCTAATACAAATGGGTCATGCCAAAAATGAATAGGTCTTGTCGAAGATAAAGATAAAAAACGACGTTGACTACGGTGAAGTTTGTTGGACTAAGATTGTTGACGATGTAAACTGGGAACAAAATCTTAAAACTACACCTCTTAAAATCCTTAATGTTAATAAAAACAAGGATAAAATTGACATTTTTATCATGTTTCAAACAACTGCTGTGATTTGCGCCTCTCTAGTTACTACATAGAACTGCAACGTTACACTTAGAATAGTGATACATGTAACACCTTCTTTTTCTTAATTTTTGTTTGTTGATTAATTATGATTAATTTGAGTTTAACTTGAGAAGTCTTTGAATGAAGTCTAATGCAGGGAGTCTAATTCAAGTGAGACTAAGTATTCTAGACCAGGAGATTCTAGAGCATTATTGCTCAAGCAAGATGAGGCTCACCCAAGCGAGATAGGATAGAGTCGCCCCAACTGTCTTCTTGGCCAAACAAGATGGAGCTCGCTCAAGCGGACTCGCAGGAAAATTTGGAGAACTCTTTGGACATCTTCTTACTCATGCGAAAATATAAAAAAAGGCTAGAAAATTCTAATATTTTCACTCAAGCGAGATAGTACTTCGCCCAAGAAAAAATACGCGAGATTGAAAGGTATTTAAGGAATTTCTAACCAAAAAACTTGCATTACAATCCAAGTTGCATTTTTCTCTCGTTTTTCTCTGAACTCTTACTTTCTTTCCTAAGAGAAATCTCCTTTGAACCTCGAGCATTCCTTGAATCTGAACTTGAACGTTCAATCCAATCAACTCCAAGTAAGTTTCTCAAAGCTCTGTTTTTTTCTTTTTGTTTTCTATTTTTCTCAAAAATACTCTATTTTATGATATTTAAGAAGAATGTTGTTCTTTAAATGAAATCCTTCAGAAATCCTCATTTCACATCTTTATTTCAAGGCACGGAGAGCTCTTTTTCGTCATTATACATAATGTATATTTGTGTGCTTATGAGAATATTATATTCTTTGTTTGTTTGAAAAGTATGTTTAAATGATATTTAATTGTTGTGAAAAGTTGATGATACTTGTTTAGTTGGTTCTGAATAATTGTGTTGTATGTCATAATATATGCTTGCATGGACTTAGTTTGGAAGTGTTTTACGAAGCATGATCATTTTATCTAAATAATGAGAATGAAATGAAAGGAAGTGTATGATGAGTACAAAGTGATAAAAAAAATTAGTATAAATAGATACAGAGATATACTAAGGGTATAGACTTCAGAGACGATTAGGAAATTTGGGAGAAACATAGGGTAGTAAACGACATTCGCGTATGTGTACACACTCTTTTTGAAAGTGAATGCGTCACATGGCCTCACACTTGTTTCTAACTATATTCTTGACTATACCTTTACCAAATGACTCGTTATTGTACATGTTATATCCATATGTAAGAGCTAACCAACGACTATTTATCTATCTATATAAGACCTCATGAATTGCTAGAGATATCAAATATTTATGATCAAAATGCACAGAAAAGTGCGTATCTAAGAGAAAAAATTGTAGTGAATTGTGAATGAGTATGTGTGATTTTGTGGAACTTCCTGATAAATTTTTTTGTGTATCTAAGGTGGCAATATTCTCTTTTAATTCATGACTAAAGTTATGTTGTAGTTCATATTAATGTAATTGCATTATATTTAATGGTGGATAGATGCTCATCTTTACTAAACATTTCAAGAAGCAGGATGACTGACAGTAGAAGAGTAATTAGATTAATAGACTATTTTGTAAATTGTAGACAAAACTATATATTTATGAAATATCAACGGTTTTATTATTTTAAATTTGTTGTAAACTGTGATAATAAATGGAGTAATATTTTTACCTTTAAAATGAATCTAAATTATAGTGTACCTTTAGACTATCATGTAAATAATAGGATCTACCACACCTTTAGCATTTATGTTTTTAGAGGAATAGTCAAGACTTCAATAGCTACAAATTATTTATATATTTTTCTTAATTACGTTTTCTTTGAAAGATTGACCCGATTTACTATGGAATAAGTAACAAGTGTTGATGTCAATACTAATCCTGGAAATGTTAGAGAGAATGAGGATTTAACTCAAAAGAACTAGTTGAGATAGAGGGCTGGCATAACAATGATGACTAAGATTGAGTCCTTAGTGTTTTGGATATGAATAAAAACTACTCTTAGGACTTAGTTTATTGATATTGTAATTATGTAATCTACGTCTTGGTATAATTTTGATAACAATTTATAAATATTAAACTTGTGTATATAATAAAAATTTAACTATGTATATTATTTTTAATTAATTATTGTTAAATGTAATTATTAAGAGTATAATTTACATTTTGTTATTTCTAATATTCTTGTAAATCTTCATGAATAGATTTATTGATAGAAAATTTTAATTTTATCATATTTTTATACCATATATGTTATAACAAATTCATTTTATTTCCTTTATCTCGTTATAAATAATATATTTTTAAATAAAAAATTAAGGATATCTCACAATACACTTTTGTCATGAAATTGTGTGCTATTGACTACTATAATAAAGACTATAATAAAATAAATATATTAAGTGTAGGAATTAAAATACAAAAATATATTAATATTGTATAATAGTTTTGTAACCAAAGTTAACTTTAGAGACAATTTTATTTTATTCTTTATTTAATGACTTGTTTACAAACTTTTTTTTTATTTTTT